CATCCCGAAGGGATGAATTGCCCCCCGAGGCCCACTTCTTGGGGTCCAAGGTGAGCCAAGCCCAGCGTTTCTTGTCCTGGGGCGTTGCCCAGTGGTTGAAGCGGGCCTGCTTAGAGCGGAAAGTGGCCAGGGCGGCTCTGGCCTGGTCGAGCTCCGTCTGCAGGTCCTGGTTGCGTTGCTCGAGCTTGTCGTTCTCCCGAGTCAGCCGCCGCGTCGTGTCCTGCTGCTGCTTGAGCTCGTCCGCCTGCTCCCGCGTTTTCGTGTAGGCCGCGCAGAGCTGCTTTCTGAACGCCCTGTTCGTGCGTTCGTGCGCATGGAGGCGGCGGCCAAAGCATCGCCGAGGGTCTTCTGCGCCTGCTGCTTGCACTCTTTCACCGCGTCTTTCAAGGACTGCCTCGCCCAATGCTTGTTGAGGAAGTTCTTTATCGCCCTGACCCGTGCTCGGTTCCTGTGTGCGGCGCGCTTCTTATCGAGCGCCGTCTCCGACGAGGCTGGCATGATGGCAAGAAAGAGCCAATTTGAGCCAAGAGGGGCTGTGGAAGCGTGAGGGCACGAAAGGGGGAAGAGAGAAATATATAGAGAGAGGGCGAACATGAGGGGAGGGAGGGAGGGAGGGAGGGAGGGAGGGAGGGAGGGAAAGAGAGAGAGAGAGAGAGAGAGCGAGAGAGAGAGAAGGCGCAGAGACCATGACGGAGAGGCGGGGAACGAGAATGGGGACGAAGCAGGAAGGAGGAGGAGGAGTAAGAGAAACGGATTGATGAGGAGAGGGAGACAAGAGATACGAGTCGGAGTAGGGGCAATGGGCACGTAGAGTAAAATAGACGCGAACAATGCGAGAAGCCTCCAATACGCCCTCCCGAAGTCCCCAGGAGGCCCTTCAAGAGGCCATCAAAAGCCTCCCGGATGCCCCGAAAAGCCCTCCGCGAGGCCCTTGAGAGACACCCCCGAAGACCTCCACATCTGTCCAAGAGGCTCCCCGCCCACAGCCCAGGCACAGCAACGGGGCTCGACGGGGCTCACACAGCCCTGTGACAAATCCGATTCTCCTCATCATCCTCTTCTTCCTCTATCCTCGTCCTCCTTCTGTTCCTCCTCCTGCTCGTCGTCCTCCTCCTGCTCAAACTCCTCCTCCTCCTCTTCCTCATCCTCCTCCTCCTCCTCCCCCTCCCCTTCCCCCCCTGTCCCTCTGAGACCTCTCAAACCTCCCCAATGCCCAGAAGATTCCGAGAAACCCATGCGACGCATCACAAGTGTTTTCGCTGGATTTGCGAACACTGTGGTGATCCGTATGCACTGGCCACTCCTGCGATCCAGAACGAACGAGGAGAACGAACAAAAACAACACATTGCGATGAAGACGAGCATTCAAATAATGACTCCTAACAATGGATAAGGAATTTAAGAGACAGGCGGGCAACACAGTTGAAACGAGAAAGGGCAACATATGAAACGACAAGAAAAATGTGGATCACAGGAACGTCACCTAGCATATATATATATATATATATATATTATGTATCCGGGCCAGGGTGGCCGTAAGTAAGGGCCATTGGGTTGCATGAAGCACGAAGTCTGTGGGGCGTATTGGGCTTATCGGTTCATGCGGCTCATGAGGTAGTAGGTTCCGCAGGGCTCATAGGGCTCAATGGGATCAGGCTGCCCGTAGGGCCCGTCGGGCTCATGCGGCTCAGGGGATAGTGCATTGAGCCCGTAGGGCTCATAGGGCTCATGGGGCCCATGGAGCTCACGCGACGGCCTCTACGATGGACTTCTGTGAGTCTTTTAGGGGGCCTTTTCGGGGGGCTCATGAAAGTGTTTATGGGGCGTTGGGGCTCACAGCGCTTGTATGGCTCATGGGATCATGGAGCCCATGTGGCTCATACGGTTCTTGACACAGTGCTGATGGAGCCCAGGTGGCCTAGGACAAGGGGAGGAGGAAGGGGAGGAGTGCCGTGAGGACGAGGAGGCCCTTGTGGCGCACGCTGCATGGGCCTCGTGCGGGTCATGGCGCGAATGCGAGCTTGGAGATATAGGAGGAGAGGGAAGTAGCGGGGAGAGCAATACAATGGCGTATGAAAGACGACGTGGAAGGACACAGTGAAAGAGGAGTGGAAAGGAACCAAGAAAGATCAAGGGGAATGGGGGCAGGATGAGGCACAGTAGATGGCAAAGAGGAGGGGAGAGCAAAGAAGGAGGGAGCCAACATCAGAGGATGAGGATGAGGTGAAGAGGGGGAGGGGAAACAAGAAACAAAGCAGGAACAGAAAAAGGAAGAGGATGGGGAGCGCGGGGCTTCCGCTGACGTTGTATTTCCAGCATTGTTGTCGGTGTCCTCTCGTCGCCAGTCCGCTTAGCTGCCACCCCCCGCTCGGACCGCGAGGTACGGGAGACGCGCCGTCGGCCTTCGATTGAACGCATCATTGCTAGGCTTCGTCTGAAATGCTGCGCTCGACTTGTTCGCGCGAGGCTGCGGGCGCTGATTGCCATGCTGCGCGCCCGCCACAAGGACAAACAGCTTCGGTGGATCCGCGCCCTGGAGACGGATGCTGAATTCCTTCGGTCCCACCATCCTTACGATTTTCTTGCTGACGATCCTACGGCATGGGCTCACCTGATGTTTGATAACTGATGCTTTGAAAACACTCGTCGACCGCGTTGTCTTTACAGACTCTACGCGCGATCAGTCCCCTGCCCTGCGGCCGACGCCAGGTGTAGAGGCATGCGTGTGCGAGCGCGGTGAGGCCTTCAGTCCGTCTCGCGGACTCCATCCCACCGGCGCGCTAAGCACGGGAAGAGACATGAAATACGATTCGATGTGTCCAGGTCCAAGTAATTGCCCATGCTGTGGCACAGGTTTTGTCTCGCGCCGGCATAAGTGTCGAACTGTTGTGTCCGTTCACTGTCCTCGGCTCAGTCTTAGTGCAGTGCAGAAACTTGACTGGGTGGATCGCGACTTGTTTCGTTACGCCCAGCAGGCAGGTCGCAACCATCACATTTCCACGGCTCCTGGTCCACGGGCTGACAGATGACTTATAGTCCGCGCACCATCATGAGTCGTGTGTTTGTGGTTGGTGCCACATGTGTGCACATCTGAACAGTCATTTCTTTGCTATCTTGAGATTTGTCTATACTTGTGTACATATATATATATACACATTTATACAAACATACACATATCCTCTATGTAACTGCTGCGAGTGTCACGCTCCTGGGCCAGAACGCATGAGGACGTCTCAGGCGAAGCGTCCAGTCCGCCCTACCGACACGTCTGGGGGTGCGACAGGGAGGACTTTCCACAAAGATGATGTATACGGAGGAGGAGGAGGAAGAGGAGGAGGAGGAGGAGGAGGAGGAGGAGGGGGAGGGGGAGGAGGAGGAGGAGGAGTATATGGAGAAGGAGGAGGAGAAGGAGGAGGAGGATGAGGGGAGGAGGAGGAAGGGGAGGAAGAGGACCAGTGTCAACCCAAGAGTCACCAACAATTTTGGAATACACCCTCCCCCCAAGCTTCCTCTTCATAGTCCCTTGCAAGGGTTCATTTCCACTGATAGAACTGCTTGATTGGAAGACAATACATTCAAGACCACGATGCATGCCAAAACATCGTTCTCCAGAATCGCAGCAGAACGCCATTCTTGCGATTTCAACGCCGCGAATCAACGTAACTGTTGCGCCCTCATAATCCGAACTTCTTCCTAAATGCCGTTTCTGGTACGCTGACCATGGGAATCCGTGAAACTCTTGCAAATGTTTTAACCGAACGTGCGCGGCGCTAAGGCGAGAACCACATCTTGGAAAGGAGCCACCCTCAATCCGTGAAACTCTTGCAATGGTTTAAAAACGAATGTGCGCGGCGCTAAGGCGCGTTCAACATTTAAAAAACGACCCGCCCTCAATCCGTGAAACTCTGGCAAATGTTTAAAGCGAATGTGCGCGGCGCTAAGGCGAGAGCCACATTTTGAAAACCACCCGCCCTCCGTTTGTGAAACTTTTGACAATGTGTGAGCTTCAGGGTCATAAGTGGTGAGGAAGTCTCAGTCAAAACGCCAGGGGGGGGGGCGGAGGAGGAGGAGGAGGAGGAGGAGAAGGAGGACGAGGAGGAGGAGGAGGAGCAGGCGGAGACATGACGGTTTCCCATCCTTCCTGTTTTGTTCTTGTCCCCCTTCTCCCTCCCCCTTCGGCACCATCACAACCTTAAGGGTCTCTCTCTTCGTCACCATCACAATCACGCGATAGCCACAATACAAGAGATTGTCGCAAGTTCTTGAAGAAGCTAAAGTTTATTGACCATCAGCTGGCATCCTCATCCGTAGACGACTAGAGGAGCGCAACGATGTTGATGGAGACGTCATCAGCGCCAGGGATGCGTCATGCCCCCCGTGCCTGGACGCATAGATCAGTGTATTTAGGCAGGAGACAGTCCGAGCTTGTCGCGTGGATGTTTCGGCTTTACTGCGTGCCGAACAAGTCGACGGATCAGTTCAGCTTACACATGACTCGCGCTGTCAAGCAGGTGGCGGGCACGCAAGTCGGAAAGTCAGCATGTATGTTTGTTTGGCTTGGCACTCAACTTTGAAGCGATACCCACACTGCTGGGCGGCCAGAGCGACAAGCGAGCGCAAAATCACGAGTGGGCCAGCTCGCAAAGGCGCGTCTGGGTGTCTGTGTCCAGCACGTCTTCGAACACAGTTTCCAGAAGAAGGCGTGGCACGGTCTACCGCTGGGACCAGTTTGGCTGAACCTCCCGCTTTCATCCAACGGGCACGCGGGACGCCAGCATTATTGGAAACTGGCAGGCGAGCTTTTGCGCAGCATGGATATTTTTGCTCTGGAGTTACTGTTGCAACCAGGGCACTCCGCCTCCGACGGGCGTATCATCACCACCGCTATAGGAGAGCACTACACAGTGCGGACGCCCCCTCCTTCCATACTCCTCTGGGTCATCGTCGTTGTCGCCTTCCACAGCGACATGAGGTTGCTTGACTGCCTGACTGCGCGGCAGGCTTACGTGGAACTCAGGAAGCCCCACGTCATCAACAACCTCACCGCGCAGCGCATACTCCTGGACCGCAGGCAGGCCCCGCGCTCAGGACCTCGGCCATCCTTGCCCCCCCCATGTCGCCCTCGTGGGGCGGGGGGAAGGAAGAGGAAGCAGGGTGGCAGGTCGTCTGAAACGTCAGGCGTTTGTAAGCGTTTCTGGTATTTTTCCCAACCATCCTGTAGTGTTGGATCTTCGCTTTGTAGAGACAGTGCCCCGCGTTCCTTCCTTCCTTCCTTCCTCCTCCCCCTGCCTCCCTCCCTTTCCTCCTCCGATCCCTGCGTCTGTCCTCCGAACCAGTCAACCAATTTGGGACACCCCTCACACGTTTCGTGGCCCCATAGGGAGCCCCACCGAAGGCCCAAATGCCAGCGTTCGAATGCCGTCACCGCGCCCATTTTGCCACACCTCACACGTTTCGTGGCCCCAGAAGGTAGTAGCCCCACCGAAGGCCCAAATGCTAGCGTTTGCATGCGGCCACCGCACCCATCTCGGCACACCCCTCACACGTTTCGTAGCCCCACAGGGGACCCCACCGGCGGCCCAAATGCCAGCGTTCGCACGCGGCTACCGCACCCATGTTGGTATCCCCTTCGCACGTTTCGTGGCCCCACAGGGAGCCCCACCGAAAACTCAAATGCCACCGTTCGCATTCAGTTGGGCACACCCCTCACACGTGACGTGGCCCCATATGGAGCCCCACCGAAAGCCCAAATGCCAGCGTCCGCATGCGGCCACCGCACCCATTTCGGCACACCCCTCACACGTTTCGTGGCCACACAGGGGAAATGCTAGCGTTCGCATGCCGTCACCGCAACCATTTTGGCACACCCCTCACACGTTTCGTGGCCCCACATGGAGCCCCACCGACAGCCCACATGCCAGCGTTCGCATACCGTCACCGCACGCATTTTGGTACACCCCTCACACGTTTCGTGGCCCCACACACAGGGAACCCCACCGACGGCCCAAATGCCAGCGTTCGAATGCCGTCACCGCACCCATTTTGCCACACCCCTCACACGTTTCGTGGCCCCATTTGGAGCCCCACCGAAGGCCCAAATGCGAGCGTCCGCATGCAGCCACCGCACCCATTTTGGCACACCCCTCACACGTTTCGTGGCCCCAAAGGGGGCCCCACCGAAGGCCCAAATGCAAGCGTCCGCATGCGGCCACCGCACCCATCTCGGCACACCCCTCACACGTTTCGTGGCCCAACAGGGGACCCCACCGGCGGCCCAAATGCCAGCGTTCGCACGCGGCTACCGCACCCATTTTGGTATCCCCTTCGCACGTTTCGTGGCCCCACAGGGAGCCCCACCGAAAACTCAAATGCCACCGTTCGCATTCAGTTGGGCACACCCCTCACACGTGACGTGGCCCCATATGGAGCCCCACCGAAGGCCCAAATGCGAGCGTCCGCATGCGGCCACCGCACCCATTTCGGCACACCCCTCACACGTTTCGTGGCCACACAGGGGAAATGCTAGCGTTCGCATGCCGTCACCGCAACCATTTTGGCACACCCCTCACACGTTTCGTGGCCCCACAGGGAGCCCCACCGAAGGCCCAAATGCCAGCGTTCGCATGCCGTCACCGCATTCATTTTGGCACAACTCTAACACGTTTCGTGGCCCCATTTGGAGCCCCACCGAAGGCCCAAATGCGAGCGTCCGCATGCAGCCACCGCACCCATTTTGGCACACCCCTCACACTTTCCATGGCCCCACAGGGAGCCCCACCGACGGCCTAAATGCCAGCGTTCTCGTGCGGTCACCGCACCCATTTTGGCACACCGCTTACATGTTTCGTGACCCCGCAGGGAGCTCCACCGAACGCGGTGCATACAACGACGGTGCTCACATCTGCATGTGGTTGGGTCCGTCGTCAGGCTAATGCCCACCTGGCAGGTAGGGGTTGTGAGATTCACAGGACAGAGTTTCTATCTAGCCCGCACTCCCTGCATACCGTGGCCGCTGGGCCCAAAGTGAGCCGGCGTTCCCCTGAGATCCCGCCTCGCGTTCTCGTGCGGGGATTGCTCCAAGCAGATTAATATGGGTCGGGGAGGCCTCCAGCCAACCAAGGGCTTCTGGGCAACCTCTGGACACCGACAGCTGTGGAGAACCTCGGGCTCCTCGACGCAGGAGGGTCTTCGGACGTGTCTTAGATGTACCCGATGCCTTGGAAGGATTCGGGGAAGTTCTGTATTGCTTCTGGGGTTGACCCCCGACCTTCGATCTCCGCCCCAGGAGGCCCAGAGAGGTCCGAGAAGTTACCCCAAAACACCGAAGACGCCCCCAAACCTTTCTCCTCGACGCTCGATCCTCGATCCTCGACGTTCGATCCTCAAACCTTTATCCTCGAACCTGGATCATCGACATTGGATTTTGAACCTCGACATTCGATCCTCGAACCTCTTTTCCTAGAAGCTGAATCCTCGGCATTCGATCATCTGTCCTCGATCCTGGATCCTCGAATGGCGGAGGGCGGCCCGCGCCCCCGCGTCTCACCCAGGCGCTGCGCGGACAAACAAAAACGCGGCGGGGCGGGCTCTGGGGGGCGACTCCAGGCCCCGGAACCGTGCAGGAGCGATTGCCCCAGCAGGCCAAGTCAAGTCAAGAAGCCATGCGCCAATGGGCGCGTGGGCGAGACACCGCGTTGCATGCGCGGCCGCAAGAAACCCTCGCAGGACACCCAACCCTGAAAATCCGCACGCGAGGTGCAATTGAGGGGAAATGCCAGAGCACCACCAATGCAGCAGCGTCTTTGACGGCGGCGGGAAATCACCGCACAGCGCGTGGAGCGAAGAAACCACAGGTACCGTCACGAAGCGCACCCTGTGTCTTGGTGCGCGTCCCCTTGTGCTGCTCCTGATTGGTCTTGCCTCCCGCAGGGCTCGCGGGCAGACGACTGCGACATTTTGGCACCGCTGTGGACGCGAGAGAGCAAGCCACACCACGACGGTGACGCAGAAAAGGTGGAGCGCCCCACGACTGTGAAGCACAAACTTACACGAGTAGAAGCAAGGTTGGCTGGCGCCCTCCAGGAGTATGTGCCCCCAGCGAAGCACCCTGATATCATGAGCTGTCAACTAGCACCCATACCTGTGCAACGCCTAGATTTCTAGGGGTGGGATTCCAAGGGGGGGGATATAGGTGTGTGTTGTCACATGGGGGGTCCCTCTCGAACGGGAGCCCCCCTCGGAGTTCGACAACTTGCACCCATACCTATCGCGCCTTCATTTTCTTGCACTTGCCCAGTCGTCCTCTCCATAGGTTTGAACGCGTGTTGTGCTGGAATCGCATTAGCAGCAAAGGTTACGAGGCGGGACGAGGAGAAGCACGTCTGGGAAGCCCTGAGAAAGAGAGGATGCAGCCAGGACAGTGGTGAGAGCACGGCCATGTGCACCTTAGTTTGCTTTCACTGGGAATCGTGGCCGTCCAGACCAAAAATTCTAGCCGACACTGAGGCGAGATCACGATTCCTAAGTAAAGTTCGGGGAAGTCTCAGGCGAACAGGCTGCCAGACCGTGCTGCCTAGGGCTTCCAGCCCCCCTTGTGGGACTCTTCTGTGGTCGTTTTCACACCTATTAACACCTGATAGCCGCTAGCGAAACGTTATTAGGCTATTAGGGAATTCGGGATGAGAAATTTCGGCTCGATGGAAATTAGTACAGAAAAAATGGTAACGAAGACCGACAGCAGTTCCTGCCCATTTTGAACAGAACTCGCTGTCGATGTCGCCGCGGACGTGAGGCGGAAAGGCAGCTGCCCATTCTGCGACAATTGTCGGTTTTGCACAACTCTTTTTGTTGGGCATCGTGCCCATTCTTTTCCGCACTAGCCCACCTGGGGCGTGCCAGTTCGGGGCCGCCTCGCAGAAGTTGGGCCGTTCGAGAACAATCCAGGAAGACACAAAGCCGGCCCCAGGGAACGAAGGCCGTGGGGGGCCCGGGACTGGGCTAAATCGCTCTGAGAGCGTTCCGGAACGCTCCCAGAGCGCTCGGGAGCGCTCTGGAGCGGCCGCCGCGCCCGCTGCATGCTCCAGAGCCGCCGGATCTCAGAGATCCCCACTGTGTCCCAGTCCGACCGTGTCCCAGTCTTGGCTTCGTCTTAGGCCGAGAGTCGAGATGTCCCGCGGGTCCACGCCACAGACTGATCCGCAACGTCGTCCGGCGCCAGCCTCCCCGCGGCCAGCGCCGAGGTCTACGCCCTGCTCAGTGCGAACGGAATCCCCCACCCGCAGGCAGCGCCCGCTCTCTCTCTCTCTCTCTCTCGTTCTCTATGTAGTTTGCCCGTCTCTCTCCCTCTCTATTTCACCATCTTTCTCTCTCTCTCTCTCTCGGTTAATAACTAGATATATCGATATAGTTATGTATCCCTCTCTCTATATATAGGCATTCGGATCTGTATGTGTGTATCCATCAATATGTTTATATATATATATGGAATTGTATATTTCCATATCTGTCCATCTCTCTTTATCTCTCTCTCTCTATCGCTTTATCTCTCCATACTTTTCTCTCTCTCTCTCTATCCCTCTCTCTCTCCCCCCTTTTGGCGTGGTCGGCAGCTTGGCTCACCACATAGGGGTATGTAGGCTGGGATTTATCTATATCTTCCGCCTGGGACGCCGATCTTCCTATACCTCGGCAGGCTGTGGATACGGATGCAGGGGTTTCAAAACAAGTAGGATAGCATGCCCGGCCTCAGCATCGAGGTCCTGTTCTAAAATCAAATGTTTGAAATTCCTTGTATTGTTCCTAGTTTTAACAACTCGATCACAAAGCCTAGTGATAGTCGAACACCTAGTCACATAGTCACGGCGACGAATGTTTGAGCTGGTGGTCGTGTTCTGGTGGTTGCGTTGGGGGGGTGTGCTGGGGGGTTGTGCTGGGTGTGTGTGCTGGGGGGTTGTGCTGGGGGGTTCTGCGTGGGTTCGTGCTGGGGGGTTGTGCTGGGGGGTTGTGCTGGGGGGGGCTGTGCTGAAGGTTGTGATGAGGGGCGTGCGGTGGGGTTGTTCTGGGGGGTCGTGCCGAGAAGGGACTGCGCAGGAGGGATTACGCCATGGGGGTTGTGTTGGGCGTTTTGCTGGAGGGCTGTACGGTGGGGTGTTGCTGGGGGGGTTGTGCTGGGGGGGTTGTGCCAGGGGATGTGCCAGGGATTGTGCTGGGGGGTTGTGTTGTGGGGTTGTATTGGGGGCTGTGCTGAGGGTTGTGCTGGGTGTGTGTGCGATGGGGTAGTGCTGTGGGGTTGTGCTGGGGGGTTGTGCAGGGGTCTGTGCTGGCGGTTGCGGCGTGTCCCGAAGGCGTTTCCGACTCGAATGTGTTTCGGGGAAGTTTGTTCCGAAGTTCTTCCGAAGTTCTCGGGCCTCTGCGAAGCTCCATTTCTCCAGATCGCAAGCTTCTCAGACTCCTGCAGACTTTCACGCGCTTTGGACGCCCATGGCACAAACCCCAAGCACAACCTCCCGGACCCCCCCCCCAGCACAACCCCACAGAGAACAACCCCCCAGCACAACCCCCCAGCACAACCCCCGAGCGCAACCCCCCAAAGCACAACTCCCCAGCACAAACCCCCAGCAAAACCCCCCCTGCACAACCCCAGGACAACCCCCCAGCGCAACACCCCAGCACAACCCCCCGGCACAACCCCCCAGCACAATCCCACCGCGCAACCCTCCAGCACAACCCTCGTGCACAACGACCTACAGCACAACCCCCGAGCACAACCTCGAGCGCAACCCCCCAGCACAACCACCAAGCGCAACCCCGGCATGACCCCTCTGCACAGATCCCCCAGCATGACCCCCTAGCAGAAACCCCCAGCGCAAACCCCAGCACAACCCCCAGCAACCCTTCCCCGAACAACTCCCCCACAGCACAACCCCCAGTACAGCCCCCCAGCACAACCCCCAGCACAACCCCCAGCACAACCCCTCAGCACAACCTCCAAGCGCAACCACCCAGCACAGCCCCCCAGCACAACCCCCTGGCAGAACGCCGCCTGCACAATCCCCAGCAGTACCCCCAGCACAACCCCCATGCACGCCCCCCATTACAACCCCCCAGCACAGCCCCCCCAAGCAAACCCCACCGCACAACCCCCCAGCAACCCCCCCCAGCACAACACTCAGCACAACCCCCCAGCACAACCCCCAGCACAAACCAACCCAGCACAACCACAGCCCCCAGCACAACCCCCCAGCACGACCCCCCCGGCATAACCCCGCCTGCACACACCCCCAGCACAACCCCCAGCACAACTCCCGAGCACACACGCCCAACACAACCCCAAGCACAACTCCCAGCACAACCCCCCATCAGCCCCCCCCAGCACACACACCCAGCACAACCCCCAGCACACCCCTCCAGCACAACTCCCGAGTACAACCCCCAGCACAACCGGACTTGTCTGAGTTTGGTGTTTTGCGGTCTTTGGTTTGCAAGTCGAATTGGGCGGGGCGAGAGGCGGAGCCCGAGGCCGCTGGGGTGGCGAGTATTTGACCCAGCAAGCTTTAGAGTCTCGCGGCGGGAGACGTTCTAAGTGTCAATCTGCTCGTCCGCCATCTTCGGTCATCTCTGCGTTCCTGCCGTTTGGAAGCTGCATCCTGATAAGATGGTATCCGATTCCTTACCGGGCGCGGGGGGGGATTCGCCGAGGGTCTGAAAGATGACAGGGGACTTCCTGCGGACCCCACCCATGGAGCTTGGATGGCGTTCGACTCGGATGGCTCGGCTGTAGAGATCAAGGTTGTGAAGGCGTCACTATTGGGATGGAGAAGCTGGAAGCGCCGACGCAAAGTGCCATCCACGCTGGCTGGCGAGACCCTTGCTTATCCTAATACGTTGTTGACGTCGCGTGGCTGCATTTCATGTTTACGGACATAATGTTCCATTGCCAGAACACTCCAGGTTACGTTCGCGCATCGGTTCTGTTCACTACCGCATTGCGTCGTGACTGTGTTTGGGGACCAGATACATGTATTGGATGCCAAGAACATATACGACACAATGTTGGAATCAGGAACGCCTGTGCGCGAGACCGCAGGACTGCTATCCACCAGGCTATGATTCTTGAGTCTCTCGAGCATGCCCGAGGACATGACCCACGGCCGCCTGCTTTTCATAGGTGAGGGCTCAGAGATCGAGCGCCGTTGGCAGTCCCCCAGGCTGAAGAACAGAGCCCAGGTCGCCTCTCGTCAAGTTCTCAGCAAGGCCGGAATTGCATGGTCTCTCTTCCAGGGCGCCGGGAGCCAGGTGGTGGGTGGTGTCGCTAGTGGTTTCTCTCTCTCTCTCTCTCTTTCCCCGTCGCTTCGTCCTGTGCTGCCGTCTGATTTTCCCTTGTCCAGTCTTCCCTGCCATCTCCGCGTTGGGCATTCTCGCTTTGCTAAGAGCCGGGCGTTCGACGCCCTCTTTTTGATCTCAGTGTTGTGTTTGTTTCACGTCAGTTGCCTACTATTTTCCCCAAGGGTGTTAGGCTCAGGAGGAGTTGGACGAGTATGACTGCCGTCTTCGTTTGATCAATAGGTGTAGGTGTTGGAATGTCTTGTGATTTTGAACCTCGTCAGGCCAAGCGTTCTGTCAGATCCGAACGAATGTTGGCTCAAGGGTAAGACGTTGACTCGTCTTCTTGCCCCCGCACCCTGCCCATGAGAGACCGAGGAGGAAGCCAAGAGTGGCCTACGAAGTTGGACTCCTTCACGTGCCGCTTCGAGAGAAACAATCAGCCTGCATCTTTGTTGGTAAAAGGCGCAGGAAGCCAGCCTGTTCGAAGTAGTATTGCACGTCCAGCCTTCTTGCCAGTCACCTGGCAATGTGCTGAGTCCACAACTGCGTGACCATCAACATAGGCATATCGAAGCCTTAGAACGGGCACTCGATCTTCCCAATTATGTCAATCGTGTTGGCGCTCAGGGGATTGAAGCGGAGACTCGAAACCATCTCTCTTTGGTGGCTGTCCCCTACATCAGGATACAGTGCGTGGAAATTGTGCGATCCGATTATTGTGTTGCAATCTGACGTCGCCTCGCGACCTGAAAGCTTTTGTACCAAAGGTTCGTTGGGAGCAGGAGGAAGAGGAGGAGGAAGAGGAGGAAGAGGAGGAGGAGGAGGCGGAGGAGGAGGAGGACGAGGAGATGACTAGGAGGAGGACATGGACGAGGGGGAGGAGGAGGAAGAAACGGAAAGGTGAAACGGAAAAAGAAGGAGGGAGGAAGGATGTTGATGATGTTGATGATGATGATCATGATGGGTGTGATGGTGATGATGATGTTGATGATGTTGATGCTGATGACGATGACGATGTTGATGCTGATGCTGATGCGGCTTCTGATGGTGCTGATGAGGATGATGACGCTGATAATGACGATGATGCTGATGATGACGATGTTGCTGATGATGATACTGATGATGATGATGCTGATGATGATGACGGTGATGGTGATGGTGATGCTGATGCTGATGCTGATGGTGATGGTGACGACGATGATGAGGAGGAGGCGGAGGAGGAGTAGGAGGAAAAGGAGGAGGAGGAGGAGGGGGAGCAGGAGCAGGATGAGAAGAAGGAGGAACACTGGTGAGCGAGGGACAGAGGGGGAATGAGAGGAGGGAGCTGAGGAGCTGGAGAGGCAAGGGGGAGACGGGAAGGAGTCTCACCCTTTCCCCTTCCCCTCCCTTCCCCTCCTCGCGCGATCTCCTCTCCCAGTCCCGTCCTGGCGGCTCTGGCCTCCTGTCCCGCTCTCCCACTCTCCCCCCGTCGTCACCTTTCAGCGCTCTCCCGCCCGCTTCCCCCATCCCAGGAGGAGGGAGAGGAAGAAGTCCTCATCGTCCTCCTCCCTCCTCCCATCCTTCCCCCTCTTTCCCCCCCTCGTCCCCTCTCTCTTCCTTTCTTTCCCCCCCTCCTCCCTTCTTGTGCCTCCTTCCTTTTCCCCTCCATCCTCAGCCTTCACCCTCATCCTCCTCTTTCTCCCCCTCCTCCTTCTTCCTCCGGGGGCGGGGGAAGGGAAGAAGAGAACGAGAGCGGGGGCACGGTGGGAGGACCAGGGAGGGAGGAGGAGGGGAGGGAGGGAGGGAGGAGGGAGGGAAGAGGCTCTGCCGCGGCCATCTTCGCCCCTCCATCCCCCTTCGATGCCTCCCTGCCCTCCCCCGCGATCGGCGTCTCCCTCTCCGCCTCCCCCCTGTGCGGAGAGGCCGTGATCGTGGAGAGGGACCCGGAGACCAAGGAGCTCTGCGGTGAGGCCATCGGATCCATCATGCATTCGGGGCGATCACACGGCTTTGGGACTTGGGTGTTTCTCCGAGGGTGTCTCGGGCGATTGGAGTTTCCGAGGTCCCAGAACCGTGCGGTGACGTGCCGTGCGGGGAGGTATTCGGGGAGGTATTCGGGGATTCCGAGGTCACCGCACGGTCCGCACCGTTTTGGGACCGCCAAATCCAGGCCTCCCAAATGGAGCACGAGTCATGTAGTTTCGTGTCGTGTCGACGCGGTGACGACCCCAGCGCGGGCGTTCAGGGTTGAACGCCGCTGGTGGCCCAGACCCGATGCGATATCGAACGACCTACGGTATGGAAAAGCCGTGATCGCTCATGGATTAACGATCCGAGCAGTGTCAGGAGCCGTCGCGCAGGTCGCCACGGCGTGAGCCTGCCGCAGATGGGTTCGGGGGGCATCGCGCCGCATGGCCGATGCATCGCCGGTGCGGCGCGGCGTGGAGCCCGAACTTCTCCAGCCCGCCGTCGCCGATGCACGGGCGATTCTCCGACCCCATTTGCCCTGGCCCCATTTGCCCCGGCCCCTGGCCTCCCCCACGAGCGGCCGCCTGGCCCCTCCGCCTCGAGGCCCTCGGGGACGCGCGTGGTTTGAAGCTGTTGAGCCTGCACTCTCGAGTTCGAGAGGCCGCGGAGAGGTCCGAGGACGTGCTCGGACGTTCTCGTCGGCCCCGGGAGGTCTCTCGGCCTCGGGCTGCGTGCCCGCAGCTCTGTGCTTCGTCGAGAGCAAGGCTGGGATTGCCCGAATATCTTCCCGGCGGACCGCCGGGCCCGAGCTAGGAGCTCAGGAGGCAACCATGGAGCGTCCTGAGCTCTGGGACAATGGGTCCTAAGGTTTCTCCTCCTCTTCCGCCTCCTCCGGGGGGAATGCAAAGAAGAAAGCCTTCTCAGAAGGCGGCGGGCCTTCTCAGTAGCCCTCCAGCCTGCTGCGCAGTTTTCTATGTTGTTCGCAGGGCGGGGGGATTCACGAGCTCTCTGAGAGGGCCCGCCCCTGATCACTTTCCCGTGGGCTCGCACATGAACATCATGTTGGGAGGTCTGGATCGGCGCCGCTCCAGGCGCGCTCTGCGCGCCGAGGCTGCTGGTGCAGCGCCGATCCAAGAAGTCTGCGCGGACCTCCAGACGAGGAGGGGGAGGAAGATGAGGAGAAGGATGGGTGCACGTGGCGGCGACCCCTGCGGTCGATGCCGAACGATCCGCGCTGTCGGAAAGCTGCGATCGTTCCAGGTTGGACGGTCCACGCGGTGTTCGAAACCAACGCGCAAGGCGTCACGACACGAGCCTGCCGTGCCCGCGCGGCGCGCTCCGGGAAAAGTGCCTCGCCTCTGGCGGATCTCGCTCTCGGCGAAAGGCCAGCGAAGGTAGTTCAGAGGGCAGCTGGTCCGCCGGCGGAAGGCCAGCGGAAGAGGGCGGGAGGTTTGGGCCCAGGGCTTCTGTCAGGAGGGGAAAAAACACACAGACACAATTATTCGTCGATTTCCCAGAAAATATGCGAAACTATGGGAAGTGGGGGGGAAGACAGAAACCCAGAAAATATGGAAAACTATGGGGAATCTTTTTATTTGTGTGTATTTATTTGTGTGTCCTGGGGCCCCTTCATTCTGGAGTCGGCCCTGAGCTCGTGTGGGTCTCGCGGGCCAGACTCCATGGCCGCGAGCCTACAGGTACAGGGCGGCTTGGCGCGGATACCCCGCGCTGAGGGTAGCCAACCATCGCGTGTTCGCAGGTCCGTTCCCTTGTCGCCAGCTTCGACTAATCGCGCAAACTTTCGGTATCCCAGTCTCCGATGCCTGAGGCCGCCTGCAATTCTCTCTTGGAGAGGATTGGTGGCGAGCGAGCCGAGCTCTCTGAGAAGGCTTTTCCTTCCCATTTCCCCGCCGGGCTCGCCGCCGAGAGGATTCTCTACGCCTGAGGCCTCCTCTTGGAGCCAGCGGGGGCCCAGAAGGGGTTCTAAAAAGCCCTACGTATTCAGGGCCCCTTTCCTCTCCCATTAGGCGAGGGCACTAGATCTCATGGCGCCAACATCGCAGAGCGGATTTCGCTCGGAAAACAATTGGATGGATGGACCCGGATTGTCCTGGAGAATTTAGTTCCTGATGTCGAAGTGAATTTTGTGCGGATTTCTGGGGCCAGGAATGAAGATTACAAAAGATCCACGTGAAATTCACTTCGTTTTTCGCTCGCCGTTTCGGGTTTTTGCATTGACAGGAATTCGCGCAAAAATCCGCTGCAGCACGTCTGCAAGGTCGGTGCAGTGACGGATCGTCCCTCCCCTCCCTCCATCCCCTCCCCTCCCTCCGTTCTTCGCTCCCTCCCTCCCTTCTTCCCTCCCTCCTTCGTTCCTTCCTCCCCTCGCCTCCCTCCCTGTCCTCCCCTATCCTTGGATATGATCGTTGCTCGTGATCCTGGGCAGGCCGATTTGGGTCCAGGATCGGGCCCAGCCAGGAGGGCGTACACACCGATTTTGCGCCCAGGGTGGGCCTGGCCAGGACCAGCGTATGTGTGTATAGATGGCGCGATCTTGATGGGGACGGTGCAAACGGGGCGGGTCGTTGGCGCCCCCAGTCATACAGCGGTTCGAGCAAGTCGAAGCAGTCTTCACCTCTATACGCCCCAGGGGGCTTTGGCCAGAGCCTGCGGCATCCAGCAAAAAATGCCAGTGGCGACACACCAGTTGCAGAGGGGTCGATAATCGGCGGCGCCAAGGAGGGGGGCGATGACTAGGGGCGTGTGGACACCATGGCCGGGGCAGCGAAGTCTCCCATATGTCATGGCTTCTCTGTCTTCTTTCAATACGTCCTGAGTTGCATCTCGAAGGGGTCTTTTCCATTCCACCTCCTCGTCTTCGTCGTCGTCCTCGTTCTTCTCATCGTCCTTCTTCTCGTCCTATTGTCGTCGTTTTCCTCTTCGTCCTCCTTCGCCCTGTGTTGGCGAGGCCTCAACATGATTTTCGTGCTTGTGAGGGTCTGCATCCATCCTCGTCGTCCTCCTCGTTCTTCTGCTCGCTTTCTTTGTCGTCACCACTGCGAACACCAGGTGTTTCGAACAAGGTCGCCATGCTTTCTGTCTGTCGGCTAGGTGGGGAGGGGGAGGGCGGTGGCGGCGGACGATGGCAGTGTCGTGAAGACGTGCTCAATTTTTGGAAACTCTGTTGAGAGGGACCCCGGGACCTATACGCAGGCACAGGCAGGCGAGGAGGGAGGACGAGGACGAGGAGGAAGAGAGCGACGGCGACCGACGCCCCCTGGAGGTTCCTGGAAAGGTCAATACAGTCGGGGCGCTGAAGAAGGAACCCTTTTCGTTGGGGAGGGGCTCGGTGTTCCTTGATATGGTTTCACAGTTTGCTTTCGGTTTTCCGTTGGACTTCGATGGGAAATCGAAGGTTAATTTATGGATGAAAGGGGCCTCGTTCCCTATTCAGGGTTCCTTAGGTCAACGCCCCGACTGTACAGGCCCCAAAAGGACCTCAGCGGCCCAGGTCGTTCAAAGGCATCGGGAAACATTGCCAAACCCGTGGCGACGACGTTGCCGACGCCGCCGACGACGACGCGGAGACGCGTGACGACGACAACTTCCACGGACACCATGGCCTTCACGACCACGACCACCATGACCACAATGACGGCGGCGGTGACGACGACGACGGCGGCGGCGGCGGCGACCACGATGCCGTGGCGAGGCCGCGGAGAGCTTTGAGGAGGGCGACGATTTCGTCAGGGTGGGGGACAGGAAGGTGGCGCCGCCTTCCCGCAGGGGGGATTGAGGAGGACAAGGATGACGAGGAGGAGACACCTGGTGGAATTGATTAGCGCAGGCGAATGACCAGAGGGCACGCCCCGACGACCTCGCAGACGCATTTCGCCAACACGTGCCATCCCCGGCCAAGCTAGCAACGGCTAAATGAAGTCGTCGTTGTAAGTGCATATGTGTGGTCGGACGTGTTCCACCCCACATACGATTGCCGAGCTGAGGCTGACGCTCGCACCCCCGCCATGCCGCGCACGAGCCGCCACCGCGCGCCTGCTCGCACGATCTGCTCCCCCCTTGTGGCTGATGGTTCCAGGCGTTCTCTCGCTCGAGCTGTAGCGGCTGCCATTGCCTGCTTGTTTCACTGCTTGCCTCATCGCACGAATGTATCCTAGCGGCGTTATAGCTTATATGTCCCCTTCACTGCCTACCTTGAGACCTTGAGCTCCAACTTCTTTGCCCACATCTCCTCGCATGAACTGCCAGGAGCAGATCTTTCGTTCGCTGACGCCCTTCTCGCATGAGTTGTTCCCAGCGTTCTAGCTGACTAGGGCTGACCCGTGGACCTCCGTCCACGAAGTGTGCACGTGGCACGTTATTGTGGACATGCTGTCTACAGGCTGAAATGATAATTTGGGACTCGATTCTGGCATTCGGCGCATGCTACTGCTTGCTGCCGCTTGCGACTGCTTGCTGTCGCTGTTGCCTGCTGTTGGTAATGCTTGCCGCTGCTGCGAGTCGTTGTTGCCGGTGGCTGCAGGGGTCTCCCGATGGCCACGTCTGCTGGATGTGCTCTGCTGACCGCTACCTGCTGCTGTTGTTTGCTGTTGCTGTTGCCGTGTGCTGCTGCTGCATGCTTCGTGGTTCGTGCTGCTGCCATGGGGCGTTTTGGGCCGCCCAAGGATGATCTCGTGCCGGCTTGGGGCCTTATTGGGGCCAAGGCTGGAAATGAAGCATAACTGTGTGGGCTCTACTTTACAACCATGCTCCGTGGTGGCTGTGGCCGCTCGAGGAGGTCGGAGGATGCCCGCGGGCAGGGTTGCTTCGGAAGCATTTCGAAGGCACTGGGGAGTATGTCCCAATGGCCGGCCTGTTTGGGGCACTCTCAGGCAGAAATCCCTTACGAGTCGCCCATTCGGACCAGAGCCTATCCAAGGAAGGGGAGAAAGAGGCGCGTGGGCGCCGTTTTTCCATGGGTGGTCGGCGCGGTCCCAGAGCTCTCTGCTGGATCTTCCTTCGAAAGTTTCTTGGGGACGGCTTTCGGGGCGTCTTGGGGCCTCTCGGGGGCCTCTGGGCCATGGGGGCCTGATTGGGCCATCGTGGGGGGCCTCCTGGGGGCCTGCTGCAGTTTCTGGGATCATCCTGGAGCGGAGGGCGCGAAATGTCAGTTCGAGTTTTCCCTCTTGGGGCCGTCTTGGGCCGTCGTTGGGGCCTCTTGTGCCGTCTTGTGGCCCTCTTGGGCCATCTGGGCGCTCTCTTAGAGGCCTTTTGGGAAGTCTTGGGGCTATCTTGGGGGGCCTCTTGGGTCTTGGGCCGTCTTGCAGCGTCGAAAACCCGAAAAGGCGAGAGCGTTGAAACCCTTCAAGAACCCAAGGGGAATCAATGATTTTGGTCTCTTGGAGCCCTACTGAACCGTCTTGCGGCTCTTTTGCGACCGCCTGGGGGCCATATAGACCTCGTGGACGGTCTAGAGGCGCCTCGGGCCCTCCTGCGGCTCTCTTGAAGCCCCCCGGGGCTGGCCTGGATCGATGTTGCCCTTTTTGAAACATGTTCCTTCGGCACGCGCCCCCCCCAGCGTTGTACGGTAGATGTATCGCTCGTTGCTTGCTTCGAGCTCGAGTTTTCTCTCCCACGGCTCCTTCTCGCACAACCAACTCCCAGCCTCATAGCGGAGCCTACTCCCAGCCTTGCAGCGGATAATTCGTTCGTTGTTTGTTTTCTTGTACGCATGTTTCCAAGCATTGTAGCTGATATGTCGCGCGCGTTGCTTGCCCTCTCCCATGAACTACTCCCAGCATTGTAGCTGCTCTTTCGCGCAGCGTTGTAGCCGATGTGTCGCTCAATGCCTGCCTTCTCGCATGATTTGCGAACGGTGTAGCTGATCCGTTGTTCCTGTCTCGCTTGCGGGCACCGGTAGAGCCTGCTGCCCATGCCCGCGTCATAGCATTGACAGAAGTTGCCTTTGTCTTCTTACGTTCCTGGACGTCTCCCAACAATCTTGCTTATGTGATTTCGCTCTGGCTTCACTGCTCCGCCCGTGGGCACCACCTTTGTGCAGCGACTGCCCTTGCTTCCACTGCCTGTCGCCCTTCGCGAGCTGATCCAGGTAGTGTAGCTGATGATGCTGGACTGCACCTCCACCTGTGGGCACCGAAAGACCCTGCTGCCACTTCTCGCCTGCTTGTGTTGCCGGCCCCTGCTTTCACTGTAGGGACTGGCGCTTGCTCAGTCTCTTGCCCGACCAGGCCCCTGCGCTGTAGCTTATAGGCCCAACTCCGCCTCGGCTCGATTGGAGGGGGCCGGCCTCCAGCCGCAGCCGCTCGTTTCCTGATCTCTTGCAAGGGAGCTGCGGTAGGTGGCGTTGTTGCTCTTTTAGGAGGAGATGGAGAAAGAGAAGGAGAAAAGAGACCAATACGGGGAGGCGAGGGAGATGACTCGTGACAGCCGCGTGCACGTTTGACCTCCGCATGGTGGCTGATGGTGTTGGGCACCACGCCTCTTGATGGTGGCTCCTGTACGCATGACTACTCAGAGGTTGGCGCACAAACCTCCCTCGCATGCACCGTGCATGGTTGGCCGCTTGGGCGTGAAAGTGCTTTATCCAAAGGGACTGCGGAAGGGCCTCGGGCATCCTCGGATTGGAGATCCCGGGCTAGGGTGCGGAGGTTTATGTTTCGTGGGGTCCGTTTTTCGAGTTCGTTCAGCGACACGATTGTGCGGCCTGGGACAAAACAAGGGTGCTGCAAGGGTTGGTGTTATATAGGTCTCTTTCTGCTTCTCCGCGCACCTTTCCTGAATTTAACGTCGGACGCTTCGGAACGTGCGTCTCAGCGAACGCAGCAGGAGAAGGAGGAGGAGGAGGAGGATAATCCATGAACAGGGATCGAGGCTCGAGGATCAGGGTTCGAGGACTCACGAAGAAGAACACGCTGTTGGCAGAGTATGAGCTTCACTGAAGAGTATGCACGGGCGCCAAAGTAAAGGATCCAAGGGAAGGGGCCGACCAGCACAGTGCACCGCGACACGCCACGAGGACGACGCAGAGCGAGTGCATGATAGCTGGGGGCGGGCGACGGCAATAGCAGAAGTAGCAATCGGCGTCCTGCGGCCATGCACAAGGTCGCCAACCCTGCCGCCCACCGCATCGGGCGCGGCAAAAGGAGAGGACACCCAATCAGTCTCTCAATTCATTATGTTCCGCCTCCTGTTTCTCCTATCCCTCCTATTCCTCCTCTTTGCCCTCCCCGTCCGCTCCCTGGCGAGGAGCGGGGGCCGGAGCGGGGCCGCGACGGGCCGGCCCGCCAAGGTGAACAAACCTTTCGTCGAGAAGCCCGTGGACGCCGAGGACGCGGCGCGCCTGGGAGAGTCGGGCCGAACGAGAGGGGGGAGGGGGGGGGGTACGAAATCTGCTGCATGCAGCTGGTTTCGGCCCCGCCGCCGGGCCCGTTCCTCGATACATGGGCGCCTCCCAGCGCCGGGAGGCGCTGGGAAAATCAGCCACGTGAGCTGATTCTCTACCTTACCCTTTGCTATCCCCCCTTTTCGTTCCCCCCGAGAGAGGGAGGATCCCCTGTCCTATCCGTCCTCGACCTCCAGCCTCCTCCTCCTCCTGATAATTAAACTGCGCTGCGTTGGAATAGATACGAGAAGTGGCGCTCATCGCGCCCGACCAGAAGAAAGCATCGGTCCCCCCGATTTCTTGTAGACAAGCAGTGAGGCAGAAGGAGTGTGCCGCAGCCCCTAGCAATCAGGCAGTGATCGAACTTCAGGGAACTCGTTTGCCAGGACACGATCTCACGATAGAGCAGAGGATCATTGGGAATCATATTTTCTTTTCTGCTGGATATGGGCGAAGTCTAACAAACATGCAGGATTTGCGATCGGGTTTCATCGACATCTCTCCCGAGAATCCCCCATCAAAGAAATCAAAATACCAGAATACCCCAGTCTTCAGGAAAGAGGTATATGCGTCAGGACACTAACTGCGATTCATGCATGATGTGGCGCGAATATATCAGTATAGGTTTCTCCTGAGAATATTGGCAATCACAAGCCTAAGTCTCCATTTCAGAAGTTGCTGGGGTGGTTATCCCAGATTATGGCCAGTCTTCCAGCGCGCGCACTACCTGTCATCATGATAGACGGCAATGGCTGATTGGGTACACTTTCAGGGCCACAAGGCGTTCCGTGTCCAGACGACTGCGTCGCCATCGGCCCACACTTTCGTGAACATAGCAACACGAACGGCAGTTATTTAAGGCAGTTCTGGATCGAGTTGCATGTATGTGCTACGAGCGCGTTCTTTCCGCATTGTGCTGGACCTACTCATTACAATTTGGGCGCGAATTCTCAGCATCGCATTGATGATATATGTGCCCTTCACGGTTATATTTCCCCTAGTGCTATACATTCGGCATTTGTTCTGGATCGAGCAGGCGGCCGATTTCAGTTCATTCAGAGTCTTCGGCGAGCGGATCACCGTCCTGTTCAGATGAATCTTGGTATTTGCATCCATTGATGATTTGCGAGCTGACACGCTTCGGTCGTTCGGGATAACATCGTCGGCTGCTCGATCTTTAGATCCGTGGATGACGTCAGGCGCCTTATCTGCGCGAGTGGCTTTGCCCAGATGCGGGGCACGACTGCTCAGTGGATCGATTTGCAGTCGCAACATTTTCTGGAAATCGGGCCCGCGCAGAATTGGGGGAAGCTTGAGGCCGCCGCTTTTTCCATGGGTGATCAATCGGGGCTCATACAGCGACGTGCGCACGCAGACTCTTGGGTGCCAGGGCGCGCACAGGGCGAGGCCCGATATCGGGGACCTATGCTCTATTATCGTGCTTATGCCGGCGTCGAGCTTAATCGTCGAATTCAGGCTCGCAAGCGGAATTGGTATATGTTTCACAAGTGCTGATTCAGCAGTGTGTGTGCCGTGATTTCAAGCTGTTTTCTTCGGAGGATGTGCATGGCTTGCTTGATGTCTGGTGTCTTGGGACTTCCTTCCAGCAGAGGGCGAAGCCGAGCTCGACCGAATTCAAATATGGTGCTGCCGCAAGTTGACGCAGGGCGCCGCCGCGACCACCGTAACCCTCTCCGACGACACCGAGAGGAAGAGTAGCCGTACGGCCGATCGGATTTCGCAGTTGCTTCGACTTGCACCCGTCTCGTTGGAGCTCAGGATTCAGAGACTCAGGCGGTACCGGGCAATGCCCAGGGCCCCAGAGAAAAACGATCAGCTCTTCGCGGTCCTCACGGCTCCTCACGTGGCCTTCGAACAGACCCTAGTGGATCGCACTAGGCACGGGTCCTCCAACTTCTTCGTGAGAAGGATGATTGAGGATATGGATTCGTTAGAGGAGCTAGAGGAGGGGGCCCCTGTCGCGGCGAGGTGCGAGGTGGGCCCCCAGAAGCTCCTACTCGATAAGGCCTCGTAGCCCACTTCCTGGAGATCGACGTTTTCTGATCATCGGAGTAAGTACCTGTCAGTTGCCGCACCTCCTCCTAGACGCGCTTATCGATGTTATGCTATTCTTGCGAATGGCCAGGCATTTGGAGAGACTTGTGAGGCCCTGAGAGCCCTCCGAGTCCATCGATCTCGTGCTAGGCGTTTGAACGGAGACGTACAGGTTGAGAAGTTCGCACAGAGCACGATGTGCCCATGGTGCTCCTCAGTATTCAGCAGTCGTGGTTGCGCAGTCTCTCATGTGCGTCATGCCGCCATCCAGATTCGGCGTCTCACTGATCGCTCTATCACACCGCAACGTGCACCAGACGAGGCCGATATTCCATGCCCACTGTGCGATCAGCACTTTACCTCATTGGCAATGTATCACACTCATGTTCGGACACATGTAGCGGGGTCCCGACATTTTCACTTATCGGTTGCTCGTTGCGGGCCCGAGAGCACCCCGGAGTTGGCCGCTCGGTTCGGCCGCCTTCCGCGCGAGCACCCAGAGGCCACGCCCCTCGAGCTCGGCCTGCCTCCGCCCGCGCAGCGAATCCGCAGAGAGGAGCCTCTTGGCAAGGCGCTCAAAGAAGCCGACAAAGACAACCTGAAGGCATTGAAGGACATGTTGATTCTCGTGGCGAAGTTAGGATTGGCAGCAGAGTATCAGGCTCGAGTGGCTCGAGCGGCAACGGACTTGGAGGCGCGCGCGTGCCCGCCGGCCATCGATGCGGCACAGGCAGGTTTGGAAGCGGGCCGCGGCGTCGCTCAGCAGGCAGCGGGGGGCGCGAAGGGGGGGCGCGAGCAGCAGTTGGGTCTTCCGCATACGACGATCTTCTTGGCCATCATGAACAGAGCAGAGCAGCAAGCGGCGCAGCTCAGCGCCCAGGCGAAGACGGACTTCGAGCGGTGCACGACCCACTACACCGCAATCAAAGACACCAAAGGCATGCAGCAGTTACATCTGGCCCTGCAGAAAGACATTCCCTACTGTCGCGCGAAGAAGACGTGCGCTCGGGACTGCGCGAAGTTCGAGATCAAGGTAGCTTGCCAGGCAGTCGCGAAGACCATCCTCCACGGCCACGGCGGCGCGTTCAAGTACCGGGTGGCGCCGTCGTCGGACATCGCGCGGCGCGCGCAGCAGGTGCTCGAGGAATTGGGCGAGATTCGATCGCACTAGGAGCGTTATCGTTGAGCTCGGCCTCAGATGGGAGAGAGTCACAGTTACTTGCGTCATCGACAAGCTCGGTTTTGAATTATGGCAGAGAGTCGCAGTCATCAGCGTTATCGTTGGTTGCGGCTGTGAATGATGGGAGAGAGTCGCAGAGCCTAGCGTAATCATCGAGCTCGGTTTTGAATGTTGGAAGAGAGTCGCAGTCATCAGTGTTATCGTTGAGCTCGTCGTTGGATGCTGGGAGAGAGTCGCAGTCTATCGCGTTATCATCGAGCTCGGTACCACTAATTGGGGCAGAGTCAGCGCCACGTCGTGCTTCTTCCTCACGAGCCTCTTCGACGGGCTCACTTCGTCGTCTCCTCGAAGCAGCTGGGCGTCCTCAGAGGGAGGGTTATTCGGCCGCCCCTTTTTCTTCTCTTCCTCCTCCCCCCCTCCAGAAAGGGCGCTTGTTCTCATTGACAGGTTCGCTCGTGTCCGTCAAGCGTCTCGATCGGAACTTGTCTGATGTGGTGAGGTGCGTCTTGATTGGGACTGGCTTTTTGGGGCTGGCGAGCTGCGTCTCGTTTCCCCTCTCGGCACACTCGTGTACGTAGTACACTGAGTGGACGAGAGTAATTCGTCGTTTGCCCGAGCAGGTCGGGACACGAGGCGGCGCCCCTGCCCTGCTCTGGCCTCCTGGGCGCCATAGGCCGTGTAGGAGGTTCGGAGTGGCGGGTCGGTGGGTTCGTTGTCCTTGTGGATATATCGTCGAGCAGGCCGAACTCCAGCCGATTTTAAACACGTCTTCGTTCTTTTGGTACACTAGCGCACGCTGTAGAGTATAGTTGATGCGCAGAGACACGTAGAACATGAAACACATTCATTTATTCATTCCTCCTCCTCTTCTTCACGTTGCACCCCCGAAGGGCAAGGCTGGCACGCCGGAGGCCCTGGTGCATGGACTTCCCGAAGGCCTCCAATGACCATCCACCGCCCTGAGGATCGCGGCGGCAGGCTGCGAGCATGCGACAAGGCGGCGAGGCAGTGGCCGCGCGCCCGGGCCCCCGCCGCTCGGGCCGATCAGCTCCAACGAGGCAGCGGGCGACGCTGAATCAGCGGGCGCAGTGCATGATGTCATTTTGTCAACTCGGCGTCATGGTGGTGGAGCTCTGCGCCCACGGCGGTGACGTTCAGGAGGGTGTGGCTTCCCACGATTCTGCGGCCAGCCTTGCCGGGCCGTTGCCTCGGACCTCTGGTAGGGCGTGGCGTGTGGCAGCCACGTTTCAGCATGCGGGCGGAGGGCTGCTTCGAGGAGGCGGAGCCTTCTTGGGGCGCAGTCAGGGCGCTTGCTTACAATTCGGGGGTTGCGAAAGGTGCCCCTGGCCCAAGGTGCCCCCAGCTTTTCGCTCCATCGTGGAGGCCCCGGGGCCGCCCTGGCCTCGTGAGGGGTGGTCTTGAAGCCGTGGAGGCCTCGTTGGGAATCCTGGGGCGCCATGGGCCAGGGGCACTTCTAGCAACACCCGAACAATCAGGACCACCTTGGGCTCAGGACCGCCTTGGACTCATGAGGGGCTCTGGTGTCCTTGCCGTCCTCATGTCTGGGTCCGGGAGCCCGGTCGGTGGCCGAGGCTCGCGGCGGGGCCCAACAAGCCCCGTTCGTTTTTGGTTTGGCATTCCTCCCAGGGGCATACAGTCGGAGCGCTGATAAAAGAACCCTTTTCGTTTGGGAGGGCTTCGGTGTTCCTTGATTGTTTAACAATTTGCCTCAGGTGTTCCTGAGGTCTTCCATGGGACATCGAAGTTTAACCCATGGGGAACAAGTGCCTCGTTCCTTATTTAGAATTCCTTAGGTCAACGCCCCGACCGTCATCAGGGGGGGATGCGCTCAGGGTGTAACGTATCGCCCCCCCATTGCTAACTCGTCCAGAAACGTGCGGATTCCCTACCAGGCCCTTGGCGCCGATCTATCGGCGATGTATCGCCGGTTTGAGCTCGCTGTTTTCCCCCCTGAGCCAGTCCGCTCTTGCCGTTCCCAGTCAGATTCGGTTTTCGTTTGGCGCCCCTTGCGGTAATTCGTCCGACGATTGTAGCGCTGCTCTTCCGAAGAGGACCACAACATCTGCATCTACTACGCCTCCTCCAACGGTGGGGGCGTGAAGCGCCTGTTCAGGAAGGCCTGCCGCGCGTGATGCGCCCTGTCGGGTGATTCCGGAGGTGGTCCTTGCCTGTTGAGTCTTCAGTTTTTCGCGCCATTTCGGAGCCCCCTCTGGGCCTCGCGAGGGTGCTCTGGAGGCCGCGGGGGGCCTCGGAAATCCTGGGTTCGGCTTCGGCCAGGGGCACATCTGGCAACACCTGGTGGGTGGGGGCGGGCAGATCGGGCAGCAGGAGGCGGCTGGCCCAGGTTGGCTCGCGCTGCGCACAAGAAATCACGACGCAGGCTTCTTGTGTTTGGTCTGCCTCTGGAGGCACTCGCCACGCCTTTGGCCCAAGCCAGTCCTCGAGGGGGGGGCTCCCAGACCTCGGGGGGTCCACGGCTTGGCGAGGCCACATCGTCAGAGCTTGGGGTCTGACCGCGGCTTGGGGCGTTCTCTTGTTAGAGGGTATCCGACGTCTTCCAGAGGTCTCTGGGGACATCTGGGAACTTCCGCGGGCGCCCCACAGGATCTTCGTAGGGGAAGGGAAGGGTAGGCGGATGAGGATGGGAGAGAGAGCGAGAGTAATGATGATAACAGAGAATGAGAGAGAGAGAGAAACAAACAAGAAACAGAGAGAGAGAGAGAGAGCGAAAAAGGGATGAGGAGAGAGGGAGGAGGAGGCGGGAGGGAGGGATGGGAGAGGAGGAGGAGGAGGAAGAGGCCCAGGAGGATGAGGAGGAGGAGCCGCGGCCTCGAGACGCCCGACCTCGATCCGCCCGTTCTCGAGTCGCCCGATAGGAGGGCCCGAAGTGTCCCCCCAGACGACTGCCGAGGCAGAGGACGCGTCTGCTTCGGCACCGCCCTTCCTTTCTTTGGAGATGGCTGGCGTTGCCAGCCGTTCTATGTTTTTTCACGAGATGCAGCTGTCATTGCCGCATTGGAGGCAGCCTCGACGCTCCCGAGCCAAGAAACAACTGACATCGTCCTCAACAGAAGATGATTCGGATTGGTGGTGATAGTGGTGACCTTCGTCGGTACATGGGGGGCGCCAAGCGAGCCATGGGCACCGCTATCGCTGCGCTGCAGACCCAGACGCATGGAGTCTCAATCAACCTCGGCACGCTTTCAGCTACCGTCACAAAGTCCTACGAGTCTATTATGGTGCATGTTGAGCAGCGCCTCGCCCGTGTGGAACGTCGAGTGGATGATCATGGAGTACTCTTTCTATCCCTTGCTCGTGAGGTGCATACCCTTCACGAGGAGCTTGGTGGGGTCGCAGCAGAGTGGTCCGTACCGAAACCCATCGACCCGAACTTCAGCTGAGGGATTGATCCGCACATTCTCACGGTCCGCCCAAAAGGAAACGTCCCCCGACAAAGCATCCTGGACAGTCTCACGCAGATGTTGGAACGCAATATCGTCGGACCCCAACACGTGGCAGTTGAAGGAGAACCGGCAGGCCGTCGGTTCGCACTTCATATTCAAGGATGACGGGGGTTCACCGCGTAAGTTTCATCAGTGAATTAGCTGCTTGCGCAAACAAGACAGACGCTACCTGAGATTCATCGCACAGGATGTGGAAGGAGCCCCGCAAGATTTGTACGTGGTCGGCGAGGAGAGTCCAGAGATGGTCAACGAGGGTTGCTCATCAGCATCCTTTCAGGGCTGAGGCAAGCACTGCAGCTGTACACGGAGAAGCAGAAAACGGGGGATCACGTGCCAGTGGACGCCATTGTTTCGTTTCGTGTCCAACCTCGTCAGGGCAATGAAGAGCTTGTCGTGCATTTCGCCACGGAGAACCTAGTCCCGCTCGGGTTTGACGTCTGGACCTTCCGCCAGAGAATCAGGGCCGCGTTCGCCAGACGGGCGGCGGCGACAGAGTGGAGACCTTAACCCGCTGCTTGCGAGGTGGCGCGACATGAAGAAGCATCGGAAACTATGCCTGACCACGTAATTAGAACACCCGCTCCCTCTTCTACCGCTCCTCTGACCGCAGAGACAAGATTTGATTGTACCTCAAGAAGGTGATTTCACCAGGTTCCATCACTGCTCCTCAAGAATCATATGGTTCAGACATAATGGTCTTGGAGCTCATCTACCACATTCATGGGCGCGTGCGTTCTGTTACTTCCTCTTGCTCATCAGCGCTTACTGGTGGCACGATCATTCTCTTCTTCCCTCCCCAGGGATGTCCGAGGGTGAGTTCTGAAGTTTTGCCTCCTGGTCGGATCCTCAACGTCTTGTGTGAATGTGCTGGGAATGTTATGGATGCCACACTCTAATATCCACAAAGTTTATTTCCCGAACAGACAACTGAAGTGGTCACGGATACGCGAGCCGATCTCTCTTGGGACGGGGTGACCAGCATCAAGACGCATGCCTGGCGGTGGTTACGGGCGATTTCAACATGGCCGACGTGCCGCCGAACACGGAGGATGCCAGCCTAGATGAGCAACATGATACACATAACATTCGAGCCGCAGAACGGTTTCGCTACGCTGGTCATGGGAGTTCGACCACGCATCATACAATGTGGCGAATTAGGGTAAGGAGTACAGGTGGGACGGATTGGGACTTGGACGGTTGTTATACAAGTTGTGGTAGAGCTTCAGGTTTATGATCCACCGCATCATAATGCACATTACTGGCTTCTCACGCCCATAGTTCGACAGTTGGTCTCTTTGACGAGCTGGGTCTTGAACCAGCTCTGCGTCACGGGCTCCGTGGCTGAGGCGGCCGAGGTGCTGGACAGGCGCGGCATTAGCGACCGCGCCCCAGTTCGGATCCCCCGTGGGAGCAGCCTCTGGACCCCTTCCGCTGAACGGCCCATCCCCCCTGAAGTCTACAAACATGCTCAAGATACAGCGGGTTCTGGAAGTTCGCGACATCTCGGACTTGACTTCGTCCTAGGAGTTTGTTTGCAAAGTACGTGAACCCCACCCTTCCCCGCAGAAATCGTTGGGGGTAGGGGTAGGGTTCGCACGTGGCCCCCTAACTTGCTCGTTAGGCCAGGAACGCTTCCCTTCGCGACTCGCCGGACAATTTTGTTCTCCAGGTTCCCCGCTGTCAAGAAGATCCCCCGGACTATTTGGCCCCGGGACATCGAGCTCGGCAAACGTATCACGGCGAATTGCAGGCTAGGCAAGAACCACGCGTCCGTGGACATGATTTAGCGGGAGGTGCCCCTCGTAGATCCGACCCAGTGCGCCACCGACTCGAACAACGTAAACGAAGCCATGTTTCGAACAGTTGAAGCCAGCATCAGAGCGGATACGAAGCAAACGAATTCGGAGCCGACCCGAGCTAAGTTTCGTCGTCGACGTTTAGGATTTAAGAGGAGAGGCAAGCCGCGGACCCCTTGCGACACGAGGATGACCTCGAAGAGTATCCACGAGGACGGCGGAGCCGTCATGCGAGACCCAGCCGAGGTCCTGCAGTCGCTCGGTCGGCACTGGGGCGCGGACTTCGGCGGGCGGAAAAAATGTTGATTCCGATCGAGCTCGAGATTTCCTTGATGGATCTGTTCCACGCGCATCTCTTCTCGACCTCCTGCCTTGCCCTCGCTTGGCCGGGGCCAACTCGACCCCCCCCACCCATGACCCCTCTTGACCTCCTACGTCGGGATCGAGACAGCGCGCCAGGTTTAGACGGGCACGTGCATCCAGCAAGGAAGCATTACCCAGTGGGCGCCCAGGTTCTCGATCGGGCTCTGCGGCACACCCTAGGTGGCGGCGGCCTCCTCCCCCCCACCCAGCTTCAACTACATCCGAGGTGTGTTGCTTGTTCGCGAGAGGTCCCTAGGCCACGATGGGCGCGAAGCCTTGTGACATGCCAGCGAAACTCGTCCCCTTGGCCTGAAAAAAAAACACGGCCAGTAAGATCTTTGCCAGAATGGTCATAGCCCCCATGTTGGAGGCAGTTGCACGTCTTCATCGATGGGGACCAGAGGAGCTTCGTGATGGGCCGCGCAATCCGATGGGTCATCTGCCTTTTAATCTGCCATGCCTGGACTGCAGGTTTTTTGTCTGCTGCAAAGATGCAGACCCCGCCGGGATTCACACTTGATGATGATGACGACGGTGATGATGTTGTTGTTGATGTTGATGATGATGGTGATGATGATGATGCATGATGATGGTGGTAGTGTTTGTGGAGGGTGCGCAGACACATGATTGTACGAACCTTTGTTGGGTTCAAAAGGTTTGATGATTTTGATAAGAGTTCGGGGAAGCCAGGGCGAGGGGAAGGGAATTAAGAGGGATGGAGGTCGGTCAAATCGGGGAAGAGATGGGCCAGATAAGTGAGGATAGTGGAAACGAGGGGTAGAGGGGTCAAGGGGAGAACGGGAACGGAAAAGATTGAGGTGAAGGGGACGGGGGATGGGAATACGACGAGAAGGGGAAAGGGAGGACGGAGATAAACAGCATGGCAGGATGCCGAAGAGGGAAAAGGGAGGCGGAAGAGGAAAGGGGGTAGTAGAAGCCCTCTCTGGTCCCCTGCTCGCATCTCTTCTCTTTCACTTGTATTCTTTCCTCCCCACCTTCTCTCCCTCGTCGTGCTTTCCTCCTCCTTCACCCCCCATTCCCACCTCGTCCTCCTCCCCTTAACCCTTGTAGCCTTCGCCCTCACCCCCTGTTTGAATCGCCGGTCCAAAGTCCTCCCCCCTCCCCCTCCATCGTGCCTCATTGGGGGCGCCCCGCTTCGGGGACCAGGTACTACTCCGCCCCTTATCGGACAAATCAGATGGAACGAATTGGAGCTCTATCAAGTCTCAACTCGGAGGGGACAGGAGGGTCAGGAGAAGGAGCGGGACTACGTCCAAGGTGCGAGTTTGACACAGCACTCCCTGTCCCATTGCCCCCACGACCCTCACGACGACCACCACGACCCCTACCCCTCCCCTTCGCGTTTGTAGGTGGAGGGGGAGGAGGGATTTAGGGGAAAGGGAAGGGCGGTGAAAAAGAGGAGGAGGAGGAGGACGGCGACGAGGAGGAGGAGGAGGGGGAGGAGGAGGAGGACGGCGACGAGGAGGAGGAGGAGGTGGAGGAGGGGGAGGAAGGTTTTTTTGTGCAGACGTTTTCGCCAGCTTCTGAGGATGTCTCTGGCCCCCCCAGTGCGTCGGCGAAGCGCCAGCGCCGCCGCCGCGGGCCCACTGGCACCGGCGCCGCCTCCCCCCCCTGTAGTCGGAGGTCGGCGACCGGTCCTCCGAGTTCGACCAGGAGACAAGCGGCATCCGCCGCGACGGGACGTACATGTACGAGGCCCCTCTCCGCGGCGTTCCGCAGCCTCGTCTCCCTCCTCGTCCACTCCCTAGTTACTCCACTTCTCCCCCTCCCGCTCCCCTCGTCCACTCCCTAGTTACTCCACTTCTCCTCCTCCTCGTCCTCCTCCTCCGCCTCCTCTTCCTCCTCCTCCCTCTTCTCCTCCTCCTCCTCCTCCCACCTCTCCTTTCCTCCTTTTCATTCTCCCCTCCTCTTCTTCAATCTGAGTGCTGCTTCCCTCTCTCTGGATCCAGCCCGAGCGGGGCAGGTTTTCTCCCGCATGCTGTTTCTCATCGCTGAGGACTTGAAACTATGATACTTTGTTTTGAAAGGTTGCTGTCGTCGTAATGTTGTGGTCGCTCCCGCTGCAGCTTTAGCATCATCTTCTGATCGGCGCTTGACTCCCATCGCTCAGGAGAGCGAGGGCCACAATTCTGGTTGTGAGTCATTTCTCATGCCTTTCCCTGCTCCTCCTAGTCCGCCTCCTTCCTCATCCTGTTTCTCCTGCTCATCCTCTTTTCTGATTTGACATGACACGAGTGGGTCATTAGACGGAGTTCAATGTCCGCTATGGCACCCGTTTGCGGATTGACAGATCAGCGTCCTCCTCCTCCCTTCCCCCCGCTCCTTCTTCCTACTCTTGACTCTTGACGCTGACGCTGACTTCTCCTGAGTTCGGTAAAGATCGCAGCCACACTCCTCCTCCTCCTCCGCCTCCTCCTCCTCCTCGTCCTTCTCGTCCTCCTCCTCCTCCTCCGCCTCCTCCTCCTCGTCCTTCTCGTCCTCCTCCTCCTCCGCCTCCTCCTCCTCCTCCTCCCTCCGCCCGATGTCAGAGGAGGCCCCAGTCGAGACAACGGCGGGCCCCGTCGAAGCTGTGGTCGTCACGTCGACCACCACGAGGTCGTCGTTGTGGGCGAGGCCGTCGTTGTGTTGCACGCGGAGGTCGTTGTGGTCGTCGAGATCGTCGTCGTGCCCAGGGGCCCAAATCTATTCACTCGGGGTGCCCAATTCTACTAGCCAATGGGTCCAAATCTGCCCTCTCGGGTGCTCAAATCTGCTAGCCAAGGGGCCCAGATCTACGAACTCGGGGTGCCCAAATCTATTAACCAGGGGACCAAATCTACTAACTCGGGGTGCTCCCAAAGCCACAGACCAGGGGCCGAAGGAGAGGAGGAGGAGGAGGAGGAAGAGGATGATGATGATGATGATGATGATTATGATGCTGATGCTGATGATGATGATGATGATGATGATGATGATGATGATGATGATGATGATGGTGGTGGTGGTGGTGGTGGTGATGATGATGATGATGATGATGATGATGATGATGATGGTGGTGGTGGTGGTGGTGAGGAGGAGGAGGAGGAGGAGGAGGAGGAGGAGGAGGAGGAGGAGGAGGGGGAGGAGGAGGAGGAGGAGGACGGGGGAGGAGGGGGAGGAGGAAGGGAGTTCGTATAGCGCTCCAGACGGCGCGCACACAGGCGTCCGCCCTCCTCCGCACTGCCCTTCCCCTCCACCTCCTTCTCTTGGTCCTCGCCCCTTCTCCTCGTCTGTATCCTCCTCCCTCGGTGTGCGCCAGAGTCAGTAGATTTGGGGCTGCGGTGCGCGCCCGAGGTAGTATTTTAGGGGCCCGAGTTCGCAGATTTGGTGTTAGAGTTCGGGGCTGAGTTTGTCAATCTGGGGCCCGAGTTTTGAAATCTCGGTCAAGGTTTGGTGCCCGTTTGGGGCCGGATTCGTAGATTTGAGGCCCGAGTTGGTACATTTCCCAAACAGTGTTTGCACATAGAGGTTCTTGTGTCACTTCTAAGGAATTGGACCCGTCTGCGGGCCCGGTGGCCCCGTTCCCTTCCGTCGCTGCACCACATAGGTTACACCACCTGGTGTACACCACATGCAGCTTGCACCACATAGGCAGCTTGAACCACATAGCCTACATCACATAGGGTACACCACATAGCATACGTCACATAGCTTACACCGCATAGCTTACACCACATGGCTTACACCACAGCTTGCACCTTCGTTGTGCAATAACGTCCTTTTCGAGGTTCACGCTGGTTAACTTGTTGTAGCAGCTGGGGGCCAAGTTCGTCGATGTGCTAATGGAATCGGGGCCTGAGTTCGTAGATTCGGGGCCACGGTGCGCGCCCGAGTTAGCAGATTGTGCGAGCCAGGGACGGCCCGAAGAGGTATTCAAAGAAGGATCCCCAGAATTGGGTTTTGTGACTACAGTCGATGTGCATATTGAGGATGATCGACTTTACAAGATTGGCCTTGCATCCTTGCCCCTTCGGCCCATCCTTGCATCCCTCGGCCCAGCCTTGCCCCGTTCGAACAACATCAACGTGGCCTTCCAAGGCCCGTGCATCCTTACCGTGCATCTTGATTATGCGCTTTTATTTTGGCCAGAGTGATTTCTGGCGAGCCCAGCGAGCAATTCCGTGATGTGTCAGCGGAGCGCAATTCATGATTTCCATCATTGCTATCACTGGGGCCATCACCATCACCACTGCGCATGATCTTACCCGTCACTATCTTGCCCTCATTTCCTTCCACCCCCCTCCTCTCCTGCTTCCCATGCTCCTCCTAGTCTCCTTCCCCGCCCAGCTGTCGACCCAGAGGAACAAGATGAATAGATCCATCTTGCACTCCGAGTCCAACTTGCGGAATCCGAAAGCCACTGTCCAGAATCCCTCGGGCGGGCCCAGGATTGGGATCAGTCATTCCTGAGCGTTGCGACACGCTCTCAGAGCGTTCAGGAGCACTTTGGAACGGCCGCGGTGCCCGTTAAGTCCACTGGACCCACCGGATCTCACAGGTTCCCGATGAGTCCCGGTCTGATGTTTTCCACGGTTTTGGCTTAGCCTTAATTCCAGTGGGATTCAGATCCTTGTCTTGCTCTTCTTGTCGCTTCTCATCGGCCTTTTGCGGCTTGCTCTGCCCTGCTGCTTTCCCAGCCAGCTCGGGGACACCCAGCAAAGCTGCAGCGCACTGGCGCCGATCCTGCCCAGGCCGCCCCGCAGGCGGGGCCAGGCCAGGAGGGCGCATGTCTCGATCCCGGGCCCTGGCTGGGTTGCTCTGGTCAGGAGAAGGTGCAGGTGAGCAGTCCGCATCCTCTTGCCGGTCTCGCATCCGACCTGGCCGGAGTGGCCCCCCCTCCTCCATGGAGGACGGCGCAAGGGCGCGAACAGAACCGCACGTCGCGCATCGCGAAGGCGCAGCGCGATCCTCCGATCCTGTCAGGGTCGTCCGATCGTGCTGGCGGCGCCCTGGCGGCTCCCGATCTTCCCTCCTTCCCTCCCGTGCAGGCCTTCATGCAGACCCAGGGCACCGACATCAAGGCTGCGTGGGGCCTTTCTCGGGGGGGGGCGAGGGGCGCAGGGCGGATTCGGATAAGCCCATGGGAGAACGCATCGACCCACAATCGCCCAGTACCGGGTGCCCATCGCCAACGTTGAGGCCGGTTCCAGCTCGGTGTTTGTCCCCCTCCGCGGGTCCCCCCCCCCAATTGTTGCCCCTCAAGGGGTGGGTGGGGCAGCGAGGTAGATGTGGTGGCGGTTCAGTTGAGGAACAAACGCCACCCCGACCACCCATACCTGCCGGCGTTTGCTCACTAGCCCTGTGCGTTTACCAGACAGTCCTGTCCCGCTCGACTCCTTCCCTAGATGCGCTTGCTACGGGGCTTCGCTCGCGTGGGGGGCTTCTCATGAGCCTGGTTCCTATACCGTCGACCTCCCAAGGGTGGACTTGCATCCTTGCCTCCTCGGTCCATCCTCGGCCAGTTTCGTTGGCCGCGCCCCGCTCGAAAAGCTTCGACATGGCCTTCCATGGCTTTCCAAGACCATCCTTATCGCGCGTCCTTCTGATACGGACCGACTGTACCCTCTGGAGGTGGATCGAGGTTTCTGGGCGGATTTCCAGGGCAGATTCGGAGAGGGGTCTCGCGCAGACTTTGCGGTGGCTTGCGCGGGACCGCGTGCCGGGCCTGGGCGACGTCCCCGAAGCCGAGGCTGCTACGAGCGTGCTCGCGCGCCGCCGGCGCGCGGAGCTGAGCTGCTCGCTGCACCGCGCCACAGCGCGGCAGCTACGCAGCTCGCTCGGACGGGAGCACGAGCTCGCAGTGCGAGCTCGCGGCCCAAGCCGCGATGGCGGGAAGGAGAGGAGGAGGATCGGATCACAGAAAACGGCATGAACGGAGGTCCGCGCGCAGTTTTTGGAGGAGGAGGAGGAGGAGGAGGAGGTCCGCGCGCAGTTTTTTTTCCTGCGCTCGGTCCCCCTGGCGGCGCCTCTGGCGCCGCCCCTGAGAGGGGGCGGAGGGGCAAGCCAGGCGCGCCCGCGCCGTACCTGACAACCTGCCGATTCCGCCCATCCCGTCCTGTTGCGCTGATGTTTCCGCTGTCCGCGGGCGGGCGACAGCGGACCTGGAGCCCCCGATGCAGAACATCGCGTTCTGCGCCGAAACAAACTAGCGCACATGTGAGGAAGGGGGTAGGTAAGATGCGATACGTTTGCGGTGCAATCCAGGCAGCGAATCTGAAAACAATGTGTGAAATTGGGAAAGGGCACCACTGACCGTACCACTGCCCTTGGCAAGGGGGGCGCTTACCATCGGGATTTCGCTTCAAATCTGCCTGCCGGTGAAGGCTACCTGTGCCCCCCCAAGGCAGGCTTCAGCAAGCTTGCCAAGCCATCACTTTTCTTAATGCATTTGCATGTTATTCATTTAGAGAAAGGCTCACCCAGCATACTGGGTCACATGGATGTTGTGCACGCGGGGGCGCAGCAACATGCGGCCCAGGGAGCTCAGGACGGGCATGCTTACAGGCCTGCTTAAGGCAGACGAGGCAGACCCATGTTGCCCCCCATCCGCATCCATTTGTGCCCTCTTCGAGCGACCAAGACAGGCGTAGATGTGTCGACATTCACGGTGGTCGGGGGGGAAGGGGCAAAGGCGGATGTAGTTGGGGGGAACGCGGTTGGTCGACCCAGTTGCTTCTGCAGAGTTTGAGACTTCACGCTCTGCTGCAAGTACTGAGCAGACGCTCCCAGAGGGCTTCCCTCCCCTACTCAGCCGCTCCGTCGGCCGAGAGGGAAGATGGAGGACCTGTGCAACAACGCTTTACATGCAAAGCGGAAGAATAGGGTCAACGTCTTACATTCGTTGGCATATTTGTCAAGCTCGACATCGGAGGGCCGCGATTTGGCCAGGACATCGGCCAAGTGGGTGCCGCTGGAACGGGACATCGCCTCACTGTACGGGCCTAACGAAGATCCCACACCATAAAGCTTCATACGGGCAAAGTAGTCTTTCCGATCATAGACCACAGGTGGTCTTCCACCTAAGACTCCACAGGCTTCTGAGTGACGCCAGCAAGCTCTGCTAACTTGTTCCTGCCGGGGGGCCCAGCCATATGTAAGTGCGAGTACCACAAAGCAGGTGGATCAAGGTGGTGGGGTCACGACACGTGTGAAGGGTGTGTCGAAATCATCGGGGTGGCGCCATGCGGGCGTTGCCACACGGGCCTTCGGTGGGGCTGCCTCTGTGGCCACGAGACGAGTGAGGGTGTGTGTCAATGGGCGGGACAATGCCATGCGGGTGGAGCTCGCTGTGGGGATGCGCGATGTCACAAAACAGCCATGCCTCGATACACGGAGGTTGCCCATTGCTGTCTGGAGCGCCCCCGGCGCTTGCGGCCTGCCCAAGTTTTCGGCGTGCCGTTGCGATTGCACACAATGCGCCTCACGAGCGACCCGTCGGTCTCAGAAACAATCTTCTGGCAGACAACGGTTGTGATCCAGCTTTCTCCAGTACGTCGACGTTGTTGACGCGCGAGATGCAAGAATGTGGCATTCGTAAGATGAGGCGCGAGCATTTGCAGTGGAATGCGTTGAGCCCCTCTTTGTCGTGCTTGAGAATCCACAGCGGATCCAGTGAGTACAACAATTTGTTGAGCACGCAGCTGTTGTGTATGAGTTTGTGTCGCCGACCAAGTGCGGAGTGCGTCCAAAATTGAGCAAGTTGTTGAAAACTCCTCTGATTTCTCCTGCGCCTCCATAATTCATTGTCAACGCGTGCATCGTGGATTTCGAGGCCCTCCAAATATAGAGTGTCCTTCACAATCTTGATTGTGTCCTCATCGCGCATTCTCACAAAACCAGAGAGACGATTTGAAGTTGGACCGTCCTGTCCCAATTCAATTGTTTACGCTTCGCGAATCCCCGCCAGCCCATTCAGAAGCCCTGCCCACGGGAGCTGACGGGAAATGGAAAGCAGAGGCGCCTATAGTGAAACAAAGCGATCAAAGAGAGGAGGGGGATGAACATGTTGAGCCATGTTGGAGGCTAGTTTGGAGCATCGGAGGCCTTCTTGGAGCTATGGGTTTTTTGGGGGGGCGTCTTAGGGGTCCTCTGAGACTATGTTGGGGCATCTTGGGGCCAAGAGGACGCTTTGTGGGGTCTTGGGGTCCTTGGGGCTCCTGTGGGAGGTCTTGGGGCCCCCTTGGGGCCCCTCTTGAGGCCCTCTTGGGGCTCTCTTGGGGCTCTGCTGGCAGCTTCGGAAGGCCTCCTGGGGCCATATTGGAGGCCATCGATCAAAAGGGGGGGGTCTTATCTAGCCCCCCCCCCCCCCGAAGAGCCCTCGAAATCGCCTCTGGGGAGCCCTCTTGGGGCGCTCTCGGGGCGATCGTGGGCGCTCTTGGGGCCGTCTTGGAGGCTTCTTGGGCCCCTCTTGGAGCTCTCTTGGGCCATCGTGGGGCCATCTTGAGGCCTCAAACAGCGCATCGGAAGCGAAGAGGCAACAGGCCAACACCATCGATTTCCCTTAGGTGTTTGAAGGATTTGGGCTTCTCGGGGAGGCCTGAGGGGTCTCCAAAAGCACTTATATCCGTCTTGTGGTCCTCTTGGGGCCTCTTGGAGGCATGCTGTTAACTATATTGAGCCATGTTGGGCTATCTTGAGCGATCTCGGAGGCCATCTTGGGCTCTCTGGGGCCCTCTTGGAGCCATCTTTGGCCAGAAAGGACCCACTGGCACCTCGCGGCCCCCAGAGGAGGGGGCAGGGGTAGGGGTAAAGATTCCCACCCGCCCGCAGGCCGTCTTGCTCATTCCCACCCGTCCTTCCGACACATACGTAACACCCAGGAGCCAGCATATCACGCAAGAACGCCGCAGACGCCACGGGTTTCAGATGCACCAGACCTTGGAGGCCCAAGCGTGCCAGGCGCGCCTTGTGCGGCACGTGCTCAACTTGCGCCCAGTGTTCCACGTGCACCCCAGCCGTCCTTATAAAATACCCATACAATATGGTCGTGGGGCGGCCGTGCATGTGGAGGCAGAGTGCGTTTTGTATTGTTTTTGACAGGGGTGGTGAAGGGGGGCCCTCATGGGGTTGTCATGACTCCGGGTTGGCCGCCGGCCGGGTGGGGGAGGGGGTGAATATTAGTAGGGAATAGTGATAAACCTTTTTCCCGAAAGGGAAGAGGGGGTTAGGGGGTTTGAGAAGAGGGAAGAGAGACATCGTTAGACCGCCTACGCCCAGAGGATTGGCGGGATTCCAATCCGTACTTCTGACCCTCTGCCAAAGTTGCGTCCAGCATGCTCTGCAAGTTTGCTCCATGTTGAGATACCAGCGCAGTGTCATGTAGACCACGCGGCTTGGAGCTTGTTCCAGCCGCCGATGCAGACAGGAAGGGGTGGTGACAGCCCTCAACTTTTACATGGAAAAGTGCTCCAGCCGCCCACGGTGTCGGGACCAGCCTTTCATGTTTACCCAGTGCGAGTGTTCCAGCCGCCCGTGGCGCGGGTTCCATTTCAGCGAGAGAGCGTTCCAGCCGTCCACTCCGTGAGTCCCAGTCGTGATTTGTTGCCCAGAGCGAGCGTTTCAGCCGCACGCGGCGTGTGTTCCAACCATGCTTTTTTTTACCCAGAACGAGCGTTCCAGCCGCACGCGGCGTGGGTTCCAACCATACGCTTTTGCCGAGCGCGAGCGATCCAGCCGCACGCGGCGTCGTTTCCACCCATGCACTCTTCCCGAGAGTGAGCGTTCCAGCCGCGCGCGGCGCGAGTTCCCGTCACGCAATGTTTCCCAGCGCGAGCTTTTCCACCTGCATGCTGCGCTGGTTGCGGTCATGCGTTTTTGCCGAGCACGAGCGTTCCAGCCGCCCACGGCAAATTCCCACTAGCAGATTAGGCAGCTGTCTAGCCAGTCAGTGGGGTGTTGTTGGTAATGAAATTTCAAAGAGCATCTCATATCGGCCTGAATCTGGGACCAACCTCCTGTTCTCGACCTCGTTGCATCCATAACCGCGTTGGCTCCAGTGGCGCGCTTCTGGAGCGTGCCATGACGTGGGCGGATTCCGGCTGTGGACCGACGACCGACGACCGAGAAGACGACGACGGTCGACGACGACGACGGCCGACCGACCGACGACCGACGACCAGATCGACCGACCGACCGACCGACCGACCGGAACGACAACCGACGACGACCAGTCGTCCGACCGACCGACGGACCGAGACGATGACCGATGACGACCGACGGACCGACCGACCGACGGACCGAGATGACGACGACCGATGATGACGACCGTCGGACCGTGTGACCGACAAACGAGCGCGCGGACTGACCCAGTTTGGGAGCGAGGCGTGGATACAACGCTGGGGCCCCCGCCCTTGGCCCTTGGCCCGTCAGCCCTCCCCGCCCCAACATATTCACACGTTGTAAAGTTCCAGATGCCTAGGCCGACAAAAAGGAGTGGTTTCAGTTTTTTGCATTCTTCCGAGGGAAAGTGTTCCAATCGTCCATGGGTGAGGCTCGAACCTTCAATTCGTACCAGGGAAAGTGTTCCAGCCGCCTACGCCGACAATAAATGGTGGTTCCAGTCTTTCGTTTTTTACGATGGAAAGTGTTCCAGCCGCCCACGGTGTCGGGCCCATGTTTCCAATGTTTACCCAACACTCGTGTTCCAGCCGCTGACGGCGTGGGTTCCAGTTCAGCGAGAGCGTTCCAGCCGCCCACGGCGTGAGCTCCGGCAGTGTATTTTTACCCAACGCCAGCGTTCCAGCCGCGCGCGGCGTGGGTTCCAGCCATGCGTTTTTCCCGAGCGCGCGCGTTCCAGCCGTGGGTTCCAGCCATGCGTGGCTACAGAGCGCGAGCGCTCCAGCCACGCACGGCGTGAGTTCGAGCCACGCATTTTTCCAGCGCGAACGTTTCCAGTCGCACACGGCGCGGGTTGCAGCCACGCGCTTTTACCGACAGTGCGGAAAATGCAGGTACTTCGCCAATACGGGCACAGAAGCCTTACCGTCAACCTTCACGTACTGCAGGATAGGGCAGTGGGAAAGACAGGATACGCACGATTCATTGTTACGTGCTACGCAACGCCAGTCATCATTTGCGACATCATGCGCAACAAATCACGTGGGATTGCCAGACCCGATAATTTCTATGCACGCGCGATGCTGGAACCCAGTGGAAGAACCTGTGCGTGGCAGGATATTCCATACACCCGCTACTATCACAGGCAGCTGCTCAGCTGCTGGCACGAAGACAATCGCTGTGAGCGAGGACGTGTTCGTAGGGTTTAGGATCTCTCGAGTCTCCATGTAGGTGCTAGCAATGACTAGAAGGGGGCGGCTCAGGAATCGCCAGCTCCAGAGAACACAACCTGTTGCAAACATCAGCAACATCATACTGAGTGGGCGAGCGCTAATCTCAAGCCCCGTCGTGCAATGCCCGATCCATGGGAGGAGGCGGGTGTGCGGAGGGAGGATTGGGAAGTGGATAGGGGTGACGGGGGAGCGGGTGTGGAGCGGGGTAGCCGCCCCAAGAGTTTTAATAATTCCAAGGTTTTGCGGGATGGACGCGCAATTCTCCAGAGTGGAATCACATCATCCGGAATGGAGGTCGCACGTCCGTCATTGGAGGTTTGAGCTTGTCGGTGGGCGGGGGCCCTTTTCTTGCTCCTCCCCGCCCGCCCTCCTCTCTCGTCCTCCCCGCCTCCTCTTCCAGCACACGCGAATACCTACCACCAGTCCTGTGCTTTGCCCTGTCGTTCGGCGTGTCATTGAGATCGTATTCGATCTCGGCTGTTTTCATGATGTGCGAGGCAATGCAAATACATGAGAAGCATGCGGTGCCATCTAAACCGACACCAGCTACGACGTCCAGTGCCACGCCCAGCCTGGCACGAGTGGCACGAGTGTCGGTGTCTTTGAGCACCGATGTAGCCCTTCCAGATGGTCAGCTTGAGTGCACTCCGGAAGTGCTTCGCCCTCTGCAGCTGGCCCCCTTCTCTCTTTCAAAATTGGATCGGTCAGAGCCATCTGTTGGGATGTCTTCCAGCCGTCTTGAAGACATCTAGGAGAGTCGTGCGAGGACAGCTGGCGATTTTGCAAAGCGTCTTGAAATGTTGGGGGTTTTGTTGAACGCTCTGTTGCTTGTCAGGAGCTCCCTCTCATGTTGTGTGTTGGGTGATCTCTTGGAACGACTGGAGGCCGTTTGAGACCATCTCGGATTTTTTGTACATGCAAACACGCGCGGTTGGGACAGGGGGTCCTTTCAGTTTCTTCTTGCAGGACACGGGCGCCAGGGGAGCGCAGACGAATACCACCGACTCGCCGCCGTCGGGAGCCCGTCGGCGTGCGGCTCCCGCATCCCCCCCTGTTCGGGCCGTTGCACCCTCAGCAGCAACGCGCCGATGGATTCCCCCGTTGATGGGCCCGTTTTCCACCACCGCCAGAAGTTGGAGGGGGGAGGGGGGCCCTCCTCCCCCATCTTCTTCCTCCTCCTCATCCTCCACCTCCTTCCCCTCTCCAACTTATGGTGGTGGTGGTGGGAAACAGGCCCATCACCCGTGGCGGCGTGCCATCGATGCGGCAGGTGCGCGCCGCGCTGACGCGGCGGTGACCGCAGCACAGGCGTGCAGGGTGTTGAGCGCCGCCAGTGGCCCGGCATTGGCCCATGGCGCGTGCTCTGCGGTGTGGGGAGGCCGCGATCGTTCAAGGCTGAGCGATCCACGGTGGGTCAGAGACCAGCGCCGCCGTCATCGCGACGCGAACCTGCCGTGCTCTTTTCGCCCCCCCTCCCCCCCCCCCCGAGAGCTGTTGCTTGATGCGAGGGCGCAGGAGGGGCCGCCCCCGCGCCAGGTGTACACGGTCGGGCCGGAGTACGCCCACGCAGAGGCGCGGAAGTCGCCGGTCATCGACGGCGTGGTGCAGCGGGACCAGCTCGGCAAGGACAGGCGATCGAAGAACGAGGAACATTCAAAAACAACGATGTCAGGAGTCAGGAACTATATTCTTGGGGGCACGGCTACCAAAAATGCGCCGCCAAAATGAACCATTTTGGGGCGGGTGTGCCGTGGGTCATTTTTCGCGTGATGCCTCCGGCCAAACCGACGAAACCGTCCACTTGTTTGGTAATTTTTTATACGTATTTTGGAAAAGGGGTGCCGTATGTTATTTTCCCGACCCCCTTCCGGGAGTGTATTTTTCCGACCCCTTTCCAGGAGTGGTTGAGGTGTTGCTTCATCTTGGGAAATCCAAAGCCCTTCTGTTTTGGGTGGGTTTCCGGGCCCGTTTTTTAGCAGCCGTGCCCCTGGGAGTATTCTTTGTTCAGGAGGTCCGGGCGGATTTCTTGGATCAGTGCTGGGTCTCCTTTCCAAGCGCGCTGAACGAGCCAGGGGCGGACCCGGAGGCGCCGCCGGGGAGGACCCAGCGCCGATCCGAGAAATCCGCGCGGACTTCCGAGAGTTTCTGAGCATGTCGTCTTATGATCTTCTAGAGGAGGGAGGCCCAGGCCACCCCGCGTTGTGACAAAACCCTGACGGCCCAGGGTTTCTTGCTTCTGGTAAGCTTTTTGGGGTTCCTCGCCGAGCCCTGGGGCCGTAAAACATGTGGCCGGGGTGAAGGACTTTTTGTGGTGAGGGGCTTCTGACTTCTGGGGGTCCACGTTGTGACCAACAATCACGACGCTGGAGTTCGCGAGGAGGCAGGAGCAACGGGCTGCCTCCACATTGTTTGGCTGAGGGGGAAGGGGAGAAGAAGGGAGGGGAAGGAGGGGGAGGGGGGGGCGTGAAGGCGTTTTGGACCGATCGTCTGACGATTGGGGACCCTCTTGGACCGTCTCGGCGGCCTCTTTGGACACTCTTGGCCTGTCTTGGTACTTTCTGAGGCCCCAGGGCTCCAAGGGGGGGAAAGCGTATCTGGGTGGCGACCTCCCCCGGGACCCGCCCCCATGGGCGCGGGGAAGGGATCAAAGGGAATGGGCTTCCCTTCGATTCGATGACGACATTGCTAGATGTTTCTCTCGCTGACAAGTTTGAGGAGGAGGATGCAGGGAAAGAGGACGACAGAGACGACGACTCGAACAGCCAAGCCCCTCACACACGCCGACAGGGTCGGCGGATTCATATTGGTCACTGTGGAGGAGGAAGGGGAGAGGGAGGGGAGGGAGGGGAGGGGAGGGGGAGAAAGGTCGGAGGATGAGGAGGAGGGGGGGAGGGAAGGGATGGGGAGCCCCCTTCCTTCCTCCTCTCCCCGTTCCAGTTGCGGCGCCCCAGGAGCTCCGCTTCCCGGTCGTCCTCACCGCCAAGGAGAAGGAGCGGACCCCACCCGGCGGCGCAGAGGGATCGATCGCCGTGAAGGTCAAGGGCAACGTTAGGGGAAGATCGGCTCAGGGGAACTCTCCGTTGGGGAAGGGGGAACTGCGGGCTGTCTCCGTTTTCGGACTCTCGGGGCCCTCCACGGGCCCTGGGACCGTCAGAAAACGACTCAGGATGAAAATCTCGTCCTTGGGGGGGGAGGCGCCAGGGTCCAGGACTCGTTTCACCCATGCTAAGACATGTTCATGGGGAATGCATCGGCCCCCAGTGGCGAATTCATCGCCGACAGGGGCCTAATATCCCACCCCGCCCATGGAGGTGTGGATTCGTCATCTGGGGCCTACCGCCGATCTATCGACAAATGTATCGCCAAGCCATGGTCGATGGTTCCTCCCCCCTGAGCTGGCCCCCCCTAACATCGACCCCCGGCAGAGGGAGCGATCGCCGTGAAGGAGGTGGGTCCTGTGGCAATCGAGGACGAGCAGAACTCGGGGCCTCCGAAGTGGACACCAGCATCAAGTCGACAACACCAGCATCAAGCGAAATGCAACATGAAGCGATTGACGTGTATATATATGTATATATATATATATATGTTGTTGGTTGGCTTCCTACCTTACGAGCAATTGCCTAACATGAGCACGAATTTGGATCGACGGTGGACCCTTTTTCTCGATCCATTCTCGGTGCCTCCCCGATGCCTCTCCGAAAAGCCTCCCCGAGAAGCGCCCACTCGGCGCCCCGGCGGGAGCGCGACAGGAGATCGCGCGCCGCGTCTGCCTCGCGTTCGGCCAGACGGTGTGCGGTTTCGACCTGTTGCGCACTGAGACAGGTCTTGGCCCTGGCGGCGACGGCGGCGACCACGACGACAGCGGCGGCCGAAATGTGCCGACGGCAATGCCGCCAGCGACGGCGGAAGGCATAGCTTACCTCCATTCCAGGGCCTCCTGGATGGGGTCGAAGCGAATGGGTTTGTGGATCGCGCCGCATCGCCGATGCATCGGCGATGCAGATCGATGTGGAGCCCGCTTTCTCCAACGCCGTTGCGTCGCCGATGTCGCCAGTGCATCGGCGATGTAACGGCGTTGCGGCGCGATCATCCGACCCCATCTACTCGGACCACAGTTGTGCGGATTCCACAGCTTGTTACAACGACAATCTGTATGAACAAGCACGTTCGGAGGTCCGAGCGGATTTCTTGGGTCGGGGTTGGGCTCCCATAGCGGCGCCTCTGTCTCCGCCCCTGGCTCGCTCCGCGCGCGAGGGAGGGTGTCCAGCGCTGATTCAAGAAATCCGCGCGGACTTTCGAATGTCTTTTATATTCATATGTCTGAGATTGTCCCACATGGGTGGTTGCATCCCAGAGATTACAGCATACATTTGTATGCGTTATCGTATATATATATATATGGTTATGGGTATCTGCATAGATTTGTAAAATTTGTATATATATGTATATATATATATGTATATATATATATGTATATGTTTTGATGTGCATATGTTTCCTGTGCGTATTGCACCCCATGGGTTGCGCCACAGCCGGTGCCACTCGATAAGTCTCGCATCAGAGACTCCACTCCGAGGGTGCACGAACTGGCAACTGTGTTGGGCCTTTGGGGGTCCATCGCTGGCAGGCATCCTGTCCTCCCAGGGAGACCTCCAAGGGGCATCTCCAGAGGCCCTGGGAGAGGAGACAGGAGGAGGCAGGAGGAGGAGGAGGAGCAGTGAAAACCCAAGAGGCATCAACGATGTTGGAATTAACCCTCCCTCCAAGCTCCCTCTGCACAGGCCCCTACAACGGTTCACTTCCATTGAAGGACTTGCCTCGTTGGAAGACAACATTTTGAAGATCGCGAAGCGTGCCAGAACATTGTTCTCGGGATTTCAACGCCATGTATCAACCTGACTGCTGCGTCTTGACGATCCAGAACCGTGCCAGAACACCATGTTCGGGACTTCGACACAGCGAAGCCATACGTATAACTGTTGCGCCCCAATAATCCGGAATGTTTCCAACACGCCATGTCTAGTACGTTGATCATGGGAATCCGTGAAACTCTTGCAACTGTTCAGAACGAATGTGCGCGGCGCCAAGGCGAGATCCACAGTTCGAAAAGGAACCGCCCTCAATCCGTGAAGATTTTACAAATGTTTCAAACGATTGTGCGTGGCGCTAAGGCGAGAGCCACAGTTTGAAAACCACCCGCCCTCAATCCGTGAAGCCCTTGCACATTTTTAGAGAGAACGTGCGCGGCGCTCAGGCGAGAGCCACGTTTTGAAAACCACCCGCTTTCAATCCGTGGAACTCTTGCAATTGCTTTAGAAACAATGTGCGCGGCGCTAAAGCTAAAGCCACATTTTGGAAGGGGCCCGCCCTCCATCCGTGAAACGGTTGTCACTTCTTAAGTTTCAGAATCAGAAGTGGTAAGGAATTCTCAGGCGAAGCGCCCGCCCCGCGCTAAAACTGGCTAAGGTGAAGGAACCGAGGAGGACCAGTGCAAACCCAAGGCTCGTCAACGCTATTGGGATACTCCCTCCATCCAAGCGCCCTCTTGACAGGCCCCTACAAGGATCCGTTTCCACTCAGAGAAGTACCCCGTTGGGGGACAATCGTGTAGAAATCCGGAAACGCACCCAGACATCATTTCCAGGACGTCAGCGCCACGAGTCCACCTGACCTGTATCGTGCCAGAACGCCCTTCTTGGGATTTCAACACCGCGACCTTACGCAATTGTTCCACCCTGGCAACCTGAATTGCTCCAACTCAAAATGTTGGTACGTTGACTTTGGGAACCAGTAAAATTCTTGCAAATGTTTGAAACGAAAGTGCGCGGCGATAAGGCGAGAGCCACAGTTTGAAAAGGAACCCGCCCTCAATCCGTGAAGCTTTTGCAATCGAATGTTCGCGGCGCCGAGGCGATAACCACATTTTTGAAAAAAGGAAACGCCCTAACGAATGTTTGCGGCGCTAAGGCGAGAGCCACACCAAAACCACAGACCGTCAATCTGCCAAGCTCTGGCAAATGTTTGAGAGGAGTGTGCGCGCTGCTGAGGCGAGAGCCATATTTTGGAAGGGGCACGCCCACCATCCGCGAAACCGTTGCCAGCTTTTATGTCTGAGGCTCACGCATGGTAAGGAAGTCTAAGGCGAAATGCCTGGCCCGCCCTTCCGACTGGCCTGGGGTCCGACAGGGAGGAGTTGTTCATAAGGCAAAGATGGAGGAGGAGGCCAACGACGACTGACCATGGATTCTGGCTGTCCTGTGCTTTGGACGATCGAGACTTATACTGAAAGAGTGGGTACGACGCCGAACACATGTTGTCCAAAACCGACAGCGGCCGCTGTCGGACAGGCAGCCTCCTGTCTCACACGGGCAACGACCGCGGCCTCGCCAACAACGAACCCTGTTCAGAATAAACAAGAAATTCTGTTGGACTTTTTACCCACTTTTCCCCAATCAGTGCTTGCACTGAAAGGGGTCCTAGCGGATATTCCCCAATCAGTGTTTGCACTGAAAGGGTCCTAGCGGAAGTTGAAAGATTTGGCGATAGTTTCCCGCCGATTTTGGTAGCAGGCTGGGTTCCCGGGCCCCGGGCTCTTCGTTATTGGTTCCGGACCGATGTCGGTGGGTTTGGGGTTCTTGGGTTCCTTATCGATCTCCTTATCGATCTCTTTATCGATATTTTGATTGATCTCTTTATCGATATCTTGATCGATCCCTTATGCGACCCGTACTGCCTCTGCGACCCGTTTTGCCACACATGTGTGGCCGTACCGTACGCTCGGTGCGTTTCGAGGGGAAAGCCCGCCCGCGTAGGAACCAAATGCGCGTGACATAGAATATCGATCTGCTTATCGATCCCTTATCGGATTTCCCAGTCGATCTCCTTATCGATCTCTTTGATCCATCCCACGATTCATCAAACCATCCACTCATTGGGGTTCTTCGATGGTGTACTTGAAAGATTTGGCGAAAGTTTCCCGCCGATGTTGGTAGCTGGCTGGGTTCCCCAGTTCCGGTTTCCCGGGCTCTTGGTTATTGGTTCCGGGCCGATTTTGGTGGGTTCTGGGTTCGGGGGTTCCGGGATTCTCGGTCAATTTTTTTTATCGAATCGATCTCTTTATCGATCCCACGATTCATTATCGATCTCATGATCGATCTCACTGTTCATCTCACACAATCGATCTCACCATCGATCTCATCAAACCATTCACTGATCGGGGTCTCTCTCGGTGTTATGTTCCCTTGCGATCGTGCGGATTGCTGCGCCCCAGACCCATGGACCCCGTCTCGGGGACCAGATGCCCTTCCCTTGGCATCGCTCGGACGAGTGCATTTTTTTCGGCGAGGAGCTTCGAGGATCCTCCTCGACCATCGGGAGCAAAAAACACGCACGAAACCGAACCATGCACGGGGAACAGACGTCCGAGCGATGGCAAGATCCTGGCCCGCCTGGTGACGCGCCCCGGGGCCCGAGGCGGGCCTCCAGATGCCCAAGCGTGAGAGGTGCGGGGGCAGCGACGGACGGGGGATGGGTTGCGAGAGAGCACGCTGCGCGAGGGTTCGCCACACGAGGGCGACAGGCGAACTGGCGACCCTGCTTGCCTCCAGGGTGCCCTGGTTTTCTTGGGTTTCGGTGGTTCTGCGATGGAGGCGCGACGATCCCACGCCAAAAATCGATGGACGTCCTGGGGTCTCAGGGTTGGGTTTCTTGTGGGAGGCTTCTTGTGGTCGGGCCTCCACTGTACACCTGTTCTTGGGCTGCATGACTGCATGACTGCATGTCTGCCATCCGGCTGCGCGCCGTGGTGGGAGAGGGCCGGAGGAGAAGCAGGAGCAGGTGCAGCGTTAGGGGGGGGCAGGCTCAGGGGAGGAGGGGGGTGCATCGTCCCCCTGTCGCCCTGTCGTCGCCGATACGGGCCCGATAGCCCGCCCCGCCTAGGAGTGTGCGGATCGTCCATCAACGCCCATCGCCGATCCGTCGGCGATTCGTCGCCGACTACAGGTCGATATTCCCCCCTCAGAGCTGATCACCTTCCAACGTTGCCCCGCGCTCACGGGCCAATCGGATTGGAAACGTCATTGGGTCCTGCCAGTGCTGAGCCAGGAAGGCTCCGAGAGTTCGGGCATTGAGCCACATCCGCCGCCTGGCAGCCGACGTTCCTGGACCTCGGCAGGCGGTGGATACCCATATGGCCCTTTGTGGAATGCCTCTCACGGATAGCGCCCTGAGACGAACAGATCTCCAAGAACCGACGAACTCCTCCGCGGGGCGCCTTATCGAGGGGCGGTTCGGGGCGCTGGAATCCTTAATCCTTATCCTCCTCCTCCTCCTCCTCTATCTCGTCCTTCTCCTGCTCTTCCGCCGTCGCCGTCGCGCCGTCGGCCGGCCAGGGCGGCCCGCGGGGCCCGCGCCCTCGGAGCTGGAGCCCCCCCCCGTCGCCGTCGGGCGCCAGCGGCCTGCCTCTCTCCGTCGCCGCCGCTGCCCGGCGCGGAGGCTCCTACGTCATCGACGTCAACGGCTGGTCGTTCGTCAAGGGACTGCAGCGGCGCCCCCGCGCGGCCATCGTCTCCCTCGAGGGCCGATGAGAGGCAGGGGCAAGGGGGTAGTTAGCTGGCCCAGGGGGGCGGGGAGGCATCGACCGCCAGTCGTCCAATTTATCACCAATCTGGTCTTGGGTCTTCCCACCCCACTCCGGGGGCTTCGGGCTTCGCCGTGGGGTGCCTATCGCGGATCTACCGACGATGCAGCGCCGATTACAGGTTAACGGTTCCCCCTGAGCCAGTCCCCCTTTCCACGCCGCCCCCCCCCTTCCATCGATGGTCGAGGTTTTTGGGCGCCTTGTGGGGTTGTCTCGGAACCCGCCCAGGAGCCTTTGGAGACCTCCCCGGGACCTTGGGGCCTCTCCGAAGTTTTCAGTAGGATTTGGGGGCCTCTCCGAAGATTTCAGTAGGACACCAGACGCCGTCGCTCTTCGTCGTCGCCGTCGTCGTCCCCGCGTCGTCGTCCCCGTCGTAATCGTCGTCGCCTTCATCGGGGGAGGAGAAAGACGGAGGAGGGATGACGGAGGACAAAGGCGACAAGAAGACGAGGAAGGAGGGGCGAGGGGAGGGATTGGTGTGGAGGCACACGAGGGATGAGGTCGGAAAGACAGAGCAGGAATGGGGAGACGATTGGGGACGGGGAGAAGATGGGATGCTAGGAGACCATGGCGGAGGGCGGAGACAGCACCAATCATGAGGATGCGATGCGGGAGAAATTGGGGGGAGGATTGAGGGAGGGAGAGCGGGACGTGACGGAGGGAGGATGGAGGGAGAGGGTTGCAGGAGGGTCGGAGGGGTACCGAGGCAAGAGGTGGGTGGGAAAGCCACACGGTATGTCGCAACGGGGCCGTCACAACGTGTTTCCACTTGAGGCTTGTAAGGGAAACCAGATCCAAAGTTGTGGCGCCAAAAAGGCACAACAGTCATTTTGTTTGGCACGCTGATTCAGCTGCAAGAAACTCATGATCTCCGCCCTTCTTCACCTCCTCTTTCTAATTATTGAATCGCTTCGCTCATTCCGCCGGCCCGTATTGTGCCATCGCGGGGTCTTGGGGGGTCTTGGGGGCCTTTGGAAGCTTCGTGGGAGCTTCTTGGGAACTTTGGGAGGCCTCGTGGATGGCTCTGGGTGGGCCCTCTTGGTGGTCTCTTGGGGGGGTCTGCCTGGCCTCTTGGGGGCCTCCTGGGAGCTTCCTGGGGGTCTCTTGGGGGCCTCTTGGGGCTTTCTTGCGGCCTGTTGGGGGCCTCTTGGGGCTCTCTTGGGGGCTTCGTGGGGCTACTTGGGGGCTTGTAGGGGCATTCCGGGGGCGTGTTTGGGCGGGAGGCTCAAAATTTCCGTTGAGGTTGCCCCTGTGGACCTCAATCATGGGGCCGTCTTGGGGCCTCTTGGACCGTCTTGAGGGTTTCTCGGGCCTTCTTGGAGCGCTGTTGGGCCGTCTTTGAGCGGTCTTTCTGTCGGGCCGTCTTGGGGTGATCTTGGGGGCCTCTTGGACCGCCTTGAAAGGTGTGAAAGACGAAGAGGCGGATATGTTAAAAATGCACGCTTTCCTAAGGGAATGAGACGATTTTTGCTTGTGGGAACCCTCTTGGGACGCCGCTTAGGGACCTCTTGGGGCGTCTTGAAGGCCTGTTGGGCCGTCTTGAGGCCATCGTTGGCGTTTGGGGGTGATATTTCGGCGTCTCCCGGCTCTCTTGGACCGTCTGGAGGGCTCCTCGGGCCCCTCTTGGACCGATTTGGAGCCCTCCTGGGCTCCGAAAAATAGTTCTTGAGGGTTTCTTGGGCCTTCTTGGAGCGCTCTTGGGCCGTCTTTGAGCAGTCTAGAGGGTCTCTCGGGCCGTCTTGGGGTGATCTTGGAGGCCTCTTGGACCGCCTTGAAAGGTGTGAAAGACGAAGAGCGGATATGTTAAAAATGCACGTTTTCCCAAGGGAATGGGACGATTTTTGCTAGTGGGAGCCCTCTTGGGACGCCGCTTAAGGACCTCTTAGGGACCTCTTGGGGCGTCTTGAAGGCCTGTTGGGCCGTCTTGAGGCCATCGCAGGCGCTTGGGAGTGATATTTCGGCGTCTCCCGGCTCTCTTGGACCGTCTGGAGGGCTTCTCGGGCCCCTCTTGGACCGATTTGGAGCCCTCCTGGGCTCCGAAAAAGAGTTCTTGAGGGTTTCTTGGGCCTTCTTGGAGCGCTCTTGGGCCGTCTTTGAGCGGTCTAGAGGGTCTCTCGGGCCGTCTTGGGGTGATCTTGGGGGCCTCTTGGACCGCCTTGAAAGATGTGAAAGACGAAGAGGCGGATATGTTAAAAATGCACGTTTTCCTAAGGGAATGGGACGATTTTTGCTTGTGGGAGCCCTCTTGGGACGCCGCTTAGGGACCTCTTGGGGCGTCTTGAAGGCCTGTTGAGCCGTCTTGAGGCCATCGCAGGCGCTTGGGAGTGATATTTCGGCGTCTCCCGGCACTCTTGGACCGTCTGGAGGGCTTGCCGGGACCTTGCCGGGACCTTGCCGGGACCTTGCCGGGACCTTGCCGGGACCTTGCTGGGACCTTGCCAGGACCTTGCCGGGACCTTGCCGGGACCTTGCCGGGACCTTGCCAGGACCTTGCCGGGACCTTGCCGGGACCTTGCAGGGGTACTTTTCGTCTGGGGACCCCCAGGGCCCGCCCCGCGCGCGCGAACTAGAAATATTGTTGAGCAATTACCGGAGATCTTAGCACGCCTCTGCCCCGTTGGGCCGGCGAATTCGTCCGCCTTCTGTTTCACTCTCCTCTTTCTCCTCGTCCTTCCTTCCTCGTCCTTCTTTTCCCCTCCACATTCCCCTTCCTTTCTCGCTGCTCCCCTTTCTGCTCCATACTTGTCTTCCTCCACCACCCTCCTCCATCCACGCCCAGACTACTCCCGCCTCCTCCCCACTCCTCTGTCCTCTTCCTCTCTCATCCCTCCTCCCTCTTAGTCCTTGTCCTCCTTCTCTTCCTCCTCCTCCCTCCTCACAGAGTGGGATGAGGACGGGGGGGGACGAGGAGGAGGAGAGGAGGCGTTGGAGGTCGGCGACCTCAGAAACGAGGCGACCTCGAAAACGACGCCGCCCGCGACGACGCTGGCGGCGGAGACGACGAGGGCGACGCTGGCGACGACGCCAGCGGCGGTGGCGGCAGCGGCGGCGCCGACGACGGCGACGGCGACGTGCCGGGGTAGGTACTACGAGGACGCGGCGATGGTGCTGCGCAAGCACATGCTTGGCGTCACCGGCCGCAGGCGCACAGGGCGGGCGGCGCCAGCGGGGGGGCGAAGCAGCGCCCGAGGGGAGGGGGCAGGGCGCAGGAGGGGCAGGGATGCCGACTCGGGAAGGGCCAGCCGCGGTGGACCGCCACGGTGGTCCGGGGAGGGCCTCTCGGAGGTGTTCGGTGGGAATATTGGAGCCATCTGGCGTTTTCCCAGTGCAGGTTCCTGGAGGTTCTGCTGCCTCGAGAGGCGTTCCACCAGCAGCGCCTCGGCGAGCTTTTCGGTCGGTGCCCGAATCGTCCCGAGCGGCCGCAGGGAGCCCGAGCTGTGACCCAAAAGCCGTCAGGCGTCGAGGGCCTGTCGGGACAACGGTGCTTCCGTTGCGGGTTTCGTCCTTGTTGGGCCTCCTTGAGGCGTCTCGTCGCCACGGCTGGATCCACCTCGAAATTCGGGTCAGGATGGACCTTGCGAGGGGCCCGGGCTCGGGGACGGATCTTGAGCTGACTTCAGCTGGGTGTAAGAGCCGCCGTTGTCGCAATTGGCTTTCCTCCGACTCGAGCAGTGTCGAAGTGTCCTGACCTGCCTATGGCTTACAGTTGGGGGGCGTGTACTACTGTTGAGTGTCGGCGACCCTCAAATTCATGAGCCCCCCGAGAAATACTCATTTGCCCGTGATTGGGGGGTACCCGCGACGTACCGAGGTTAGGCCCACTGGGTATTTTCTGAGAGCACACTGTGGTTTCTTGTCGTGGGATAGTCTGAGAGCATTTCCGGCTCAGGCGTTCTTGCTTTCTGGTGTCGGCCTTACGTTCTGAGAGCATTGTTGTTGTTCCTGTAGCCCTGCTCACTTGCAGCAGCATGACGTGCTAGGCCTGGAGGGGTGCCAAAACGGCTGGCCCCTCCTCGAAGCACGCCGTTGCGACCCCAGCGCGGACGCACTCGGCGGAACACCGCAAGCGGCGCAGACCTGGCCGAGGTCGAACGATCCGCACGATCGCAGGCCCGTGATCCCACGTCAGCAGAACAGCCCACGCTGTGGTCGGAGGCCCGCGCGCAAGTCGCCACGACGCGAGCCAGCCCTGCGAGTTCGGAGGCTGGCGGTCCAAGACCCCCGCGAGGCGTGGAGCCAGTCGCGGTGGGCGGCGTCTGACAGTTTTCGGGGCCCACGGGTTCTTGCGGGGCTCAGGGGGTCGCCAAAGAGCCGGGGAAGAGTAAGACTCGAGGTCGTTGGAACTCGGGCTTGCCGCCACCTCTTGTAAGTCCCCGTGCGAGTGGGTTTTGACGCTTCGTGCTCCGTCGGATGTTTGCATCTGGAGTTCGCGTCAGATGTCTGATTGGGTCCCGTCACTGTGCTGACGGCCCCGGCAGGCCAGCTCGAGCTCTCAAAATAAATTCAAGTCTCGCGTCTCCCCAGGAGAACGACGGGGTGAAGACAGAGGCCGCGGGATCGAGGATGCTTCCGAGTGGCCACGCCGTAAAAAAAATCACAAAGTCGGTCTGGGGTGATCCTGGTCTGGGTGCATGTTGTCCCTCGCAAACATGTGGATGCCGAGTTGCAAAATCAAGTCGCATCGCCCAAAGATCTCGCTTCACGATCCTCGATCCTCTTTTCGGGGACCCCCGTGTTGAGGCAAGCGTCGCGGCGTCGCGTCGGAAGGGGCCGCCGTGGCCAGGGACGGGGGTCGGAGGAGTGAGGAGGGGGGAGAAGATCTTGGCCTTGCTTGGTTTTCCACGTGCTGAGGGACTCTCTGGGGCCCCGTCGTGGCTGTTTCCTTGGCCCTGGTTGGTTCCTTCAGGCGCCCGCCGCGTCGGTTGCGACTTGTCGACCCACGCCGCTGTGCCAGATCTGGCTTTCGCAACAATGAACTTGGCGCCGCCCCACCAGCTGCGTTACGTCACCCGCCTTGTTGAGAGCAGGCGTCTGTAACGTAGTGAGGTGCAACAGCGCCATGAAGAGCAACGAAGTGTGAAGCACTGTGCAGCTTGGCAACACATAGCCTAGAACTGCCTCGCATATCGCGGCAGAGCAGTACTGCACAGCGCTCCATGAATAGCGAAGCACGGCGCAGCGCAGCAACGGATTGCATGAAACCATAACACATCATGCCATCACATTGCCAGGTATGGCGCAGCGCGGAACTGCAGCGCAGCATAATACGGCACATCATAAGAGCTGTATGCGCGGTACGATTGGTGCCCGGGTCACGAGGAGGCTGTTTGCTAATTGTTTCCTAGCAGCGTTTATCTTCACGCCGCGAGTAACAACGCCTCATGACTGAGTAGAAAACATTGCAACCCAGCAAGCAGCATGTTCAAGCCAGGTGATTCAACTCAGCAGTTTCCAGAAAGGAGTTTGCCGATCTGTGCTTGAGAACTGCTGAGTGAAGCCAGGTCCGGCCGCACATCACGCACATTCACAGGGAAACATGGCGCACCCACTCTTGAAGCACCCCTTCTGACATTAGGTAAGTGTCGAACGAAGCTACACATTCTTCCGGAGTGCAGGGCCGGATTACATTTCAAGAAGCATGTTTCCAGAGTTGACCGGTCCCCTGCAGGTTGGTCCATTTCGATCCGATTCGATTTCGATTCCCGCCAGATTGATCCGAACCGGTTCCAGTATTGAAACAGTTTGATGCGGCCCGATGGTCCCTGGCGCAGCCGATCTGATCTGATCTCGATCCTGGGCCTACTGCAGATCGATCCGACGCGCGTTCCGCTACGATCCGACTTGTCGGCCCGATGCTGGCCGCCCTGCCCTCCTCGGCAGCGGCGGCCCGCGAGAGACCCACCGAGGAATTCGTGGACGCCGCAGATGCCGTCGTCGATCCCGTCGAGCCCGGACGTGTCGCACACCTTCCAGGCCTCCCGGCGCGGGGCCTCGCCCGGGCTGGGACGGCCGAGTAGAGTTTGCAGAGACGCGGTGTGTGTGTGTGTGCGCCCCGTGTGTGTGTGTGTGTGTGCGTGTGCGTGTGCGTGTGCGTGCGTGCGTGCATGTGTGTGTGCCCTGTGTATATGCGTGTGTGTGTGTGTGTGCGTGAATTCGATCGGAGTAGATTGGGTCGGAGGATCGCGCCGCATCGGCGATGCATCGGCGATGCGGCTCGATGTGCAGTCCGATTTTCCCCACGTCGCCGATGCATAGGCGATTTATTGCCGATGCATCGCCGATGCGGCGCGATCCTCCAGCCCCATCTACTCGGATCCAATCTAGGAGGC